AGTTTGAAGCTCTGCAATAGATTCTAAATATAAATTAACAAAAAAGAACAATACATAATTTAAAAACAATCATATAATTACGCAAAATCCTTTTAAAAAATAAAAACCCAAACAATTATTATAATCTACTATAAATTATTATTTTCATAGATTTAAAAATTTGAAAAATTGAAATTTTCAAATTTTGATAAAATGGAAATTAAATTGAAACTATAGAATGAAATGAAACATATTTGAAATTCCAAAAAGAGTAATTTTCTTTTGTGAAAATACTTTGGGGATTTTGTATTTTTTTAAAAATTGTTTTATTGCTTTACAATGTCAAGTTTTTGAGGAATAGAAATAAGAATCTTTTTCGCGAAAGGTAGAAAGTAAAGGCCCACAGGTAGACGTGTTTGATAATATAATTACAGAAGGGTCCGGAGCGGATTTCCGCCCGACAAAATGAACTACACACAGTTCTCAAATATACCATTCACATATATCCCTTATGTGAAAATAAATTTATTTTCACAAAGCAAAAAAAAATAAATAAAAAAAAAACTAGAAAATTCTATTTCATTGACAAATCACAAAACTATTGTAATAAAACTCCCAATATTGTGTTGGAAGGAAATAATTTTAGATTTTGAAAAAAAAGAAACATCTATTATTATAAAAAAAATTAATTTAAAAATTATCTTTTTGAGGTAATTTAATAATTCAATTTAAATTTAATTTTAAACAATTACAAAATTAACTATCAGAAAAAATTTAGTTTTAAACAAATTACAAAATTGAATTTCAAAAAAAGATTTAACTGTAAATTTGATTTTGAACGATTACAAAATTAAAATTTGGAAAAAGATTTAATTGTAAATTTAATTTGAACAGTTACAAAATTAAATTTAAGAAAACAATTTTGTTTGAAATTTAATTGTAAACAATTTTAAAAATAAATTTCTTCGAACATTTTATTTTACCCTTTTAATTAATTCAAATTTTCATAATTACATAAAACAGAAATAAATTTAATTGAAGAATTAGAAAAATACAATTAATTCTTTTTATGCCCACGAAAATATAAAACAATTATGTTTTGAACTATATTTTTTGTAAATACATTTTTTAACTAAACTACCTAATTATTAATTATTTAAAAAGTAAATTTTAATTTAAACTTTTGTAAAATTATTTCTTAGTTTGCCAACACTTTTTTTGTAATCAATATTTACATTAAAATTAATAATTTCAAAAACTTTTCTAAAAAAAATTTGCTTTTTTACAAATTCAGTACTTTTTCTTTTAAATATTCTACAAATAATATTTTCTATACAAAGAAAATTTGTTTAAATCAGAGAAAATTTGTCTAAATTAAAGAAAATTTGATTAAATAAAACGAAAATAGTCTAAATAAAAAAAAATTGTTTAAATCAGAGAAAATTTGATTTAAACAAAAGAAAATTTGTCTAAATAAAAGAAAATTTTTATAAATCAAAGAAAATTTGTCTAAATTAAAGAAAATTTGTTTAAATTAAACAAAAATTGTCTAAATAAAAGAAAATTTGTTTAAATCAGAGAAAATTTGATTGGTTTAAGTGAAAAAAAATTTGTTTCAATGAAAGAAAATTTGTCTAAATAAAAGAAAATTTGTCTAAATCATAAAAAATTTTTTTAAATGAAACAAAATTTGTCTAAATAAAAGAAAATTCTTTTAAATTAAAGAAAATTTTTTTAAATCAAACAAAAATTGTCTAAAAAAAAGAAAATTTGTCTAAATCAAAAAAAATTTGTTTAAATGTAAGAAAATTTGTCTAAATAAAAGAAAATTTATTTAAATGAAAGAAAATTTGTCTAAATCATAGAAAATTTGTTTCAATGAAAGAAAATTTGTCTAAATAAAAGAAAATTTATTTAAATGATAGAAAATTTGTCTAAATCATAAAAAATTTGTTTGAATGAAAAAAAATTTGTTTCAATGAAAGAAAATTTGTCTAAATCATAGAAAATTTGTTTAAATGAAAAAAAATTTGTTTCAATGAAAGAAAATTTGTCTAAATAAAAGAAAATTTGTCTAAATAAAAAAAAATTTGTTTAAATGTAAGAAAATTTGTCTAAATAAAAGAAAATTTATTTAAATGATAGAAAATTTGTCTAAATCATAAAAAATTTGTTTAAATGAAAGAAATTTTTTTTTTAAATGAAACAAAAATTGGCTAAATAAAAGAAAATTTGTCTAAATAAAAGAAAATTTTTATAAATGAAAGAAAATTTGTCTAAATCATAGAAAATTTGTTGAAATGAAAAAAAATTTGTTTCAATGAAAGAAAATTTGTCTAAATAAAAGAAAATTTGTCTAAATCATAGAAAATTTTTTTAAATGAAAGAAAATTTGTCTAAATAAAAGAAAATTTTTTTAAATCAAGCAAAAATTGTCTAAATCAAAGAAAATTTGTCTAAATCAAAGAAAATTTGTTTAAATGAAAGAAAATTTGTCTAAATAAAAAAAAATTTGTTAAAATCAAAGAAAATTTTTTTTAATCAAAGAAAATTTGTCTAAATCAAAGAAAAGTATTATAACTCAAAGAAAATTTTTTCGAATGAAAATACGCTTGTTTTGTTTGAAAGAAAAATTTATTTTGAATGAAACAAAATGAGTCTATAAGAAACTTTATTTCTTTAAATTGACAAAAACTTTTTTTCTATAAGTATAATTCAATAAAGGTGAAATAAAATAAATTTATTTCATTGCAACAAAGAAGTTTTATCACAAATTTTGAAATTCCTCTTTGTTTCCTAAAGTGTCTTTCTTCACATCTCACCTATCCAGGTGTACTAATGCAACATTCGAAAAATCTTTTATTCCAAACCTATCGTGTTATACAGTAAATAGATATTACAGAAGGAAATTCATAAAACCAACTACAAAGAGAGTAAACGAAATAGAAAAGAATGAATGATGATTTTTTTTCCTCTCCACAACAAGCGAAAAAAGGATCATAATTCACTCTCTATAATCTTTGTTTACAATCTCCAGGAGGAAAAAATTGGTTTTTCCAAAAATTACGAATTTTACTAAAGACTTTTAAAGATAAAATTACTTTAAAGTTCTTAATTACTTTAAATTTTAAAGATAAACATAAAAAATGATTTTAATCAATATGCATCAGTTTTTTTCTTCATAAATCATGATTTTCAGTCTACATTCTTCGAATACTATTTCAAGATAAGAATTTTTGTACCTTTTCGAATCGGTTCGGTTATAGTTAACTTTTTGAGAGGGAAAAAAAAGTGACATTCTTATCGTCATCATGAAATAAGTACGACAAAGGTATTTACTGCAACACTAAAAACCATGGAGACGGAAACGTGGTCAGTTGCCTCTAAAATAAATAATTACGCAGAGAGAGAAAGAGAGAGAGAGATATATATATACACACAAAAATATTCCTTTGTTCAGCAAAAATGTATACGTATATATTTTGCAAAGAAAGACAAAATTCATGCTCGAGAGGGCTTTTAACAATTTCCTCGTTAAGCAAATCCAGTGACAATTGTCTTGGAAAGAATAACGAAAAGCGGAGTGAACGGGTAGAAAATAAGGGAAAATATAATAAAATAATTACCAACAATTTGTAATGAAAATAAATCATATTTTCATTTAGGTGAATTTTTCTAACATTTTTCTAACAAAGAAATTTTTTCTAAGGACTTTATTTTATTTTCTACTCAATATTTTATTTTTCCCACCTTATTTTTTATTTTTCAATTATATTTTTTATTTTCTATTTTTTAATTCTATTCTTCAGAATAATTTTTCTTTCTGGCATTTTTTTAGTGGAAAAAATAAAATAGAAAAAAATTTTCTTCCTCTCAATTTTTTTTTTTTTTAGTAGAAAATAGAAAATAAAAATAGAAAATAGAAAAAACTAGAGAAAAAGCAGAAAATTTCTCCAAATATTTGAGTTAATGAGGAAATGAAGAAAAAGCATTTTCGCGAAATATGTCGGACCGAAAATATCTTCTCAAAACTTTTGGGGACAACGACCGATAATAGCCACTGGCAAAGATTCATTTTCCGACAGTAATTCCAAAGGATTATATATGTGGTGAGGGTTTAAAAATAAAGAACAAATTGGACTATTTAGTTAAGTTAGCAGCTTTGACGAGAGAATTATTAGTCGTTTACGTGCGCACTTTCGAGTAGAGTATAAGGCAAAACGTTGGAATTTGCGAATACTTCCCCAACTGAAGCTGAGCGCATTTACAAGAATTTTTCTATTATAAAAATAATATACTCAATATTCCTTTTGCCGACGCAAATCGTTCTCATTTATTTTATCTTATTTGGTAAAAGTAATTTATGAAAATAGAAGAAAAAAATTGCAATAATTTAGCTATTTTGTTGTTAAAAATAATTATTTTGTACTATTTATTAAAATATTCAATATTTATTTAGTTACTGAATATTCAGTATTTATTTAGTTGATAAATATTTAATATTTATTTAGTTACTAAATAGTAAATATTTATTTAGTTGCTAAATATTCAAAAGTTATTTCACTACTGAATATTAAATATTTAAATAGTTACTAAATATTTGTCACTAAAATATTTTCTCAAAAAAAGTGCGAAATTCGTTTAAAAAAATTTAAAACTCAAAAATTCAGAAAAAAAATGATCAGTTACATAATGATCTAAATTTAAAATCAAATTTCAATTTTTTAAAAAGAATTTGAGTCAATAAATTTTCACGATAGTGAAATAATTTTTTCTAAAAAAAAACCCGGAGAAAAAAAATGTGGGTCATCGATATTTAAAAGTAGAATTTTAATTATTTTTTTGTGACACTTCGGGAATTGAAAACAATAATTGTTTTCACTCTAAACTCGCAGTTGTTGAAAATCTCTTTTTGTAATCCAACTGATTTATTGGAGTGTCGGCAAGCCACAAATGACATTTTTATTATATTTATCCTTCTGGAATGAATATTTATGTATTTAGGAACATAAACGACTCACCTTTCGCAGCTTCTCCAATTCAACAGTTTCCATCGTTTTCGTTGACGTCTAAAAAGAACAAAAATTTCAAATTAACTGCCACGATACATTATTTTGTTTTAATTATAAATAAAATCCCCAAAATAAAATATTAGAAATATTTATTAGAAGCAAAAATATTTTTTCATGAGAAGAATGAAAATTGAAAAAAATTGTCAAGCGGTGAAAATTTAATCAACACGTGCGATTTCTCTGACAATGACATAAATAATATCAAAAATTATTAGTAAAAACGGATGTGTTTATATTTTACTTTGTCGAACCTGTGGTAATTAATGGCCTGTGTCGGTAAATAGAAAATGTATGCACTAACCAATATCACAGTTATTAAAAATTGAAATGTAAGCATCAAGAGAGAATTGTCATATTCTTTATGACCACCATAAAACAGGAATATAACGGTGGTTAACAAAGAAAAAATTTACATTATAAGGCACACTCGTAGATTAGACAGTAAAATGTATATTAACTCAAGGCTGTAATAAAACTGAATAAAAACAGCTTCCACTAAATAAAAACAAAAATTTAATTCCAAACTGTCAAAACATGTTAAATTACGAAAAAATAACTTGTGGAAAAAGTTAAGAATTATTTATTATAATTTTCCAATCATTCAAGAAATAAATAATTCATATACGCACTATTTCAGAGTGCAAAAATTGAAAACCATAAAAGCTAAAAGTATTCCAGGAAAGGTAAGAATTTCGAACTATTTTATAATACTGGTTTCGCAGCATTTCATTGTAAATAACACTATTGAGCTAATTGCTTTGAATTCACTGTTTGGAGTTGTAGAAAATACCTTTTGCCGACCTTTTCCCGTATTATTATAGCCTTTGCGAACAAGCAAAAATACTTGAAGGGACAATTCTGCATATACCTACTCTCAGGGGAGAAGGATTTAACGCTTACAGGTACCTGACAATCCTAACCTCAATTTAATTTTCAAAATCTTAAGACTCACTCCCGTATTTCTTAGCCAAAGGGTTTTAAAAGTTTTCTCCAAGTTTTTAAAATTAATTTTTGCTTTAAGAATTCCGAAAAAAAATAATACATACCTCTCCAATTTTCCAAATAGATCGACATTGTTCACTCTCAACGCCCTCCTCATTACCCGAGCCAAAATTCATAAGTGAATAAAAATTACTGTTTTTCCCTTTATTTAAACTCTCTGGCTCCTCGGTTATTGTTCCATTATCCAAAAATTCATAATCAAGTGATTTTGAATCACGACAATTTGATATAAATGATCTTGCAAAGGAACTTTTAAAGAAATGTCCCATTGAAACTTCGCTGCCAAGTGCAAACTCTAATTTTGGATTATCACTCATTTTTTTCAGTTATCGATGGTGAGAATGAAAAAAAAACTCTTAATTAATGCACTTTTGTTGAGGAAAACAAACCAGAGGTGTCGTTTATAAACAAAACATTCTTCATTGGGGAAAACTTTGAAACTTTCACTGTGATACACAATCACTAAATTTTCTGGTTTTTTTCGACATATCACTTGTTTCACTTTGTAATTTCTGTCATGATATCGATGAAAATAATTATGTTTAACACTTAAAACACTCAAATAAACAAAGGAGAAGGGAACTCAGATGGAAAAAAACATGCTCACCCCAGACCGGTACGCTTGCAACTGACATTTTCTTCTGATCGTTGGCGCGAAGTTGGTTGCCTACTGCGCACGCTCAGGTCACGTGATACAACTTCTCTTGGCGGGAAAAAATTCAAATTCAAATTTTTAATATTTTTACTAGCAGCAACAATAATTTAAATATTGATAAATTTATTACTTTCGGCTATAATCGATAATTATAATAAATCTAGTAATTATAATAAATGATTGATAATTACAGTAAAAATGAACAATTATAATAAAATATTTAATAAACAGATAATTAATAATTTACCACTAGTCAATTTTCTCAAAATTAGCGAATTAAATTTAATTGAATTTAATTAAATTTAATTAAATATAATTAAGTATAAATTAATATAAATATAAATTTTTAGTTATTCAAATAAAATTTTTTTTTCGATTAAATATTTAATTTTAATTTCTTTTTAGTGTTTTAATTATTTAAGAATAATAAGAAATAATTAACTTGGTTTTTGTAATAAATTGCGAAAAATGTTCCTCGTTGAGTGAATTTCTACCTGCGACGAATAGCGAGAGCCACGCCTTTTATGAGTTTATTTTGTTCGTCGGCGACTTAGAATATTATAAGTAGGATTTTTTTCAATAGAAATTTTAATTTGGGGATTTTCTTCGACTAAGTCGCACCAGACGTTTACCTATTATTTGTGAACATTTTCCAGGTGCATTTTTATAGATGAGATTAAATTTTCTTTTCCTTTTTACTTTATGTAAAGCCAAACACAAAACTTATTGTTGAAAATGCAATTTTAGTTTGGAAATTTAAAGACGTGGGAGTGTCGAGATATTTCGTTAAGTTATTATTCATTATTAATAAATTAATTCACAAAGAAAATAATTTTAATATTTAATTTAAATTTAATTTATTTAAATTTAATAATTAAAATTTTATTAATTTAAATTTAATTAAATCGTAATTAAATCCCATTTAATTTCTTTTTATTTTAAATTTAATTAATATTTTGTCAATTAATTATTAAAGAATTCACTAATTTTCATTAAAATTTTGAAAGTATAAACAAACAAAAAAAATATTAAAAATTAGATAACATTGAAGTTTATATGCGTCAGAATTTGTTCTTCATCACAAATTACATAAATGCGTCAACAATATCTTAACGAGACTTTAATTTAACGCAAAAAATTCTCTTGATAAGAGACTTTTAAGTATCTCTGAACTTTTATGCTAAGATAAAATTAATCTCTACAATTTACATTTTAAAAAAATGAGAGCGAGCGCTTATGATAAAAGTAGTTTAAATCTGCTTGATTTGTTAGTCACTCGAAAAATATTTCTGGCGAATATTTCCCTCTTTTCTATTATTTAACATCAAATATTGATTTTTAGATTTAAAAAAAAATTCTGTTTACTTTATAGGGAAAAAAATTGAATAAAATTCCTAATGTTTTGTCTTCTTTAAATAATAAACAGTAGAATTTACAAAAGTGTAAGAATAAAATTTTTATCGATAATTTTAGAATTTATTTTATACAACGAAAATAAATTATTCTATAAGATATTTATATATGCATATTCAACAGTAATAAAGAGCAATTGTATAAACGAAACTACTTCCAATCAACACATTTTTCTCCAAAATTTTTTTTTTCCAATGTACGATGACGAATTTATGTAACTAAATTTAGAATCGAATTTTTACTTGTAACATGATTAAACTAAAAATCACTAAACTTAATCAAAATACTGCATTTAATTAAATTTAACTAATTTTGAAAAATTATTTTTCTTTTGTTTTAAAAAATAACCGAAATAAAAGCATTAAATAAAAAGAGAGACAGAAAATATTATCACGTCGTATCGGGACGAATGTTTGTTAATTTTGTCGAAGTTGGCGTCATAATAACAGGTCGAAAACTCGAATTAACATTTCTCGAATTATTTAAAACCATTGGCGATAATTCTGGTGGTTCTGCATACCTCGTCAATCTTGCGAATCGCTTTTTAATTGCAGACGATTTTATCGGTGTATCAACATCCATGGGAGTTTTTGCCACCATAAAATGTGGACTATTATTTGCCGAATTACGTTCAACTGAATCCATAATTCCTTGACCGGAAATACGTGAAATTGGCTTCTTTTGAAGAAGAGTGGAAATTTCCTCGCCACATGTTTTTGCGTAGGATTTTAAGTCCTGAAAGAAGAAGGAAGTAAAATTAATTACAAAAATGAATTAACAAAATGAAGAAGAATGAAATTAATAAAATTAACAAAATGAAAAAACAATAAAATTAACAGAATTAAACAAAAATTATGGAGAATTTACAAAAAATACTTTTGAATAAAAAAAAACGTAATTCAATAAAAACAAATATTGTGGAGAATTTACAAAAAATACGTTCGAATAAAAAAACGTAATTTAATAAAAAAAAGAATAACTAATGAGTAGAATGAAACTAAATTAAAAAAAATACAAACTGTTATCTGTTTGTTCAGAGCTTCAAAAGCGCTTAAGAGATGCGGTTGTCGAGGACTTTTTGTAAACACTGTCCTCTCAGAACAGTAACACAAAGAAATGTTTGATGCACTTCGTGTTTTTCGAATTTCCAAATTACTGCAGGCAATCAATGATCCAACGGTGAGAATATTTGAAAATCCATAAGAGGAAATTCCTTGCCAAAACATTATTAATAAATACGTTGAGGAAGAATCATCATTAGGACAAGAGATACAAATGGCATCGAAATTCTTCATCCCCTAAAATTAAATTAATATTATTAATATTATTAGATTAACTGCTACATAAATTACAATAAAATAAAATTAAAAATAAATTAATAAATTTTAAATTCAAAAAAAGCAATAATTTTTTGTTTTATTCTCTTACTCCAAAATTTTTATTCTCAAATTCCCCAAATAGAACGCTTTTCAAATTATTGTTTATTTAATTTATATTATTTTCTTCTTTTTATTTATTTTATTATTAATTTTTTTAATTGTTGATTTATTTATTCAGGGTTACCACGCTTTTGCTCTTTTCAAATTCCCTGACTTTTACAGGTTTCCCAGGTTAAAAAACGAAATTTTTCCAGGTTTTTAATACGAAAATTATTCATTTTTAAATAAATATTTAATCATTATTATTATTTCATATAGAAATTAAAATTTTCAAAAATTTGAAATTCAATAACCTTATAATAATTAAAACTTGCTACTTTGTTACTGTAACTTCTTCAAAAATTATTTTCATCATTACGATTATTCATTTCTAGAATTTTTAACTAAAATTCTTCTTTAAGTCATTTTTTTTTTTAATAATTTTTGAAAAAGTTCTTTGAGAATTTAAAAATTTTTTTTTTTGCAATTTAATTTTATGACATTTTGATTATTCTGACAGTCCTCAATTAAAAATGTATTAGAAATTAAAAACTTTAAATAATTAAAAAAAATTCCATTAAACTTTTTGAAAAAAAAAATTCTACAGAATTCTTAATTAAAATTATGAAAAGTTCAAATTTTCAGAAATTTTAATTTGAAACCTTTTGAAAATTCAATTATTTCTAAAAATCCACGCTATAATGCTTTCAATATTCAATTATAATCCTAAAATTTTAACTGAAATTGTTTTTTAAATGAATATTTATTAGAAAATTCTACGAGAATTCAATTATTTAAAATTTTAAATACAAATAAAATGCAAATAAATAATTTATTGAATAATTTAATGTTTCTTAAAATTGAATTTTCATATAAAGAATTTTATCAACAAAATTTTTAAATAATTTAATTCTCTTGACAAATTTTAATAAAATTTTTAAGAATAATTTTATTTGTTGAGAAATTTGATGAAAATTGTATTTTAAAAATAATTGAAATTCTGCCAAGAATTTTATTATAATTTTTGAAAATAATTGAATTTCGGAGAGGAATTTTATTTTTTATATAGATAATTGAAATTTTGACGAGAATTTTTATAACTTTTGAAAATAATTGAATTCCTGAGACGAATTTTATTAAAATATCTTTTTAAATAATTGAATTCTTTCGTGAAATTTTATTAAAATAGTAGACATTGAAAATATTTGAATTTTGACAAATTTTTGAAATTAATTAAAAATTTCTACGAAGAATTATATGAAAATTATTTTGAAAAAAATTTTATTGTTACAAAGAATTTAATTATTTATGAAAATAATTCAATTTTTTGAAGAAATTTTATTAAAAATGTTTTGAAAATAATACTTAAATTGTAATAAATAAATTGTTCCAAAAGTTTTTAAAATAATTGAATTTCTTTGCTGAATTTTAATAAAATTTTTAAGAATAATTAAATTTTTTGTGGAATTCCATGAAAATTGTATTTAAAAATTAAAAATAATTGAAAGTCTTTATTTCGAAAAAACTCACATGGGGAGTATTTCCTATCCATGAAACAACTCCAATCGTGTCTAATTCTCGATAAGGTGGTTCAAAACCAGGAACCGAAATCTCTGGCAATGGTGTGAATTGTCGACGGGGATAAATTTGACTCGAATTTGATACCGATTTAAAAATTGCCTGTCGACTTGCCGTCAGATGTAATTCTCCATCCCTAAAATCAAAATATTTAATTTGAAAAAGAAAATTCGAAATAATTAATTACCTTACATTATAGAACTTCTAAATTTTTAATTATAATTTAATAACGGAAATTTTTATTTTCGAAAAAAAATCCATACCTTCTTCCATAAGCATTGATATTGTATATAGAATAACAATTTCCCTCCTTAAAAATACTGACATCGTCATTTGAGGACCAAATTGTTAAAATAGCACAATTTTCTCCATCATTAATACGAATCTTTCGTACCGGAACGACATTTCTCGGTGGATAACTAGACTTAACTTCTTCATTTATTTCCATTTTTAATCTTTCCATTTTAGCTTGTCGATTAATGAACAATTTATTACGTTGCGCTTCAGTTAAATTGTTCTGAAAACAAAGTGAAGAAAAAAATATAAGATACTTTATGCGGGGGAAACAAAAAAAGTGAATCAGAACTTTGGAAATATAGAAAAAAATGTACAAAATTATAAAAGTAATTAGTACAATAATTATTTGCGAATTTAACTTACAAAAGAATCGAAATGTGTCAATGATCCGCTATTATCTTCTTCGGAAGAATCGTGTTTATTTCCTTCTAATTTTTCTTGTGCCTTGGCAAAAAGTAATTCCGCTTTCTTCTCTCGTTCATTATTATAATTTATCGCAGCTTTTTCTTCTTGTTTTTCATTTCGATAAACTGTGAATGAATTCCAAAATTTAAAACATAATATAAAAATATGTTTATTTTCATTATGAAAAATTAATTATAAATAGTATAAAAATTAAAAATATGAAATTATTTTTCAATTTTCCAGAGTTTTTTTTTATTACCTAACTCGGAAAGATTGATGAATTATTTCCTATTTTTAATTTTTTAATTTAATTAAGAAGTTAATTTAATTTAAAAAAATGTATTTAATTTACCGAGTGATAGATTCATGAAAATTCATATTATAAAAATTAATTATAATTTTACTATTAGTATTAATAATCAAAAATGTTCAAAATTATAATTCAAGGCAGAAAACTTACTTGATTGTCCGTCAGAAGTTTTTTCCCGATACATTATTGGATATATTCGAGAAATAATTACGTTTACTTGACCAATGAAGCCTCCATTAGGGTCGACTGCCTTCAAACTTGAGTTAATTGGACCTGATACTTTTTGAAGACCCAATTTTACATCCCATCTTGCTCGTCGAGTTGAGTTCGTATGAATTTTCAAGCACACGTTTTCTAGTTTCTACAAAAAAAAATTAAAATCAGTTTTTTTTTGCATTTAAATACAATCAATAATTTTTAATTTTACTTTTACAGGGTTGTCACAATTATTTAATTTTGTTTTTCCCTGATTTCCAGACAAAATTTTGATTTTTTTTCTGAACCTAAAAAATATTCTGATTCACTCTGAAAATTATTAGATGCTCAAAAAAAATTTCTATTACATTTATTTACAAATTTCTTTGATTGTAAAATTATTCGAAAACATCAATAACTTCTTTTTTTAAAATAAATATTTAATCATTATTATTTTTCCAGAGGAATGAAGATTTTTGGAACATTCAAATTCAAACCTTTTGAAATTAACAACTTATAAAAATTTCTTCATGTTTTTTAATAATTTCAATTACCATAAAATTTTTCAAAAAAAATTTTATTATTTACAAAAATCCTAATAAAATTCTAACGAATTTTTTGATTTGTTTAAGATTTTTTATTCTTTTCTGATTTTTTTGTACTTTTTGATCCTTTTTTGATTTTTTTAAATATTTTTCACTCGTTTTTCTTTTCTTCATTTGCTTATGATTTTGTTTCTTTCTCACCTCCAGTGGATAACAGCCTTGATCACAGTTGAGTAATTCCGCTCCATAGGTGACAATTTTCGTTCCCTCTTGAATTTTTCCGTCAACAATATTTTTCATCATTGCAGTGTCAAACGATACAGGAATACTGTACCATCCGTCCGTAACTTCAATTTTCCACCTTGGTGTTCGTAGCAAAATTCTTGGATCCTTCTCCTCAATTTCATTTTCCACACTCTAAAATATTTATGAAAAAAAATTTATAATATCAAATAATAATTAATAATTAACATTAAATAAAATACATGGATAGTAAATGTCAAAAAGTTATTTTTTTACCTCCGTTATCATTGCAATGCACAGTACCATTCTTTGCGATGGCACCTCATCTTTCTCCAATATTTTTCTAATTACAGGTCTCTGAGATCTGTCTATTTCTCGATCATATCTGTATTTTAAATCCTTCATAACTCTATCCGGCGTCAGCAATCTAGAAGTACAAATAAAAATAAAAAATAAATAAATAAAAAAACAAATAAAAATATTTTACTTTTTAATAAATTTAAAAATTCAATTTTTGATAAATTTGTAAACTGAATTTTTAAAAACTTAGAAAGTTTAGGTTTCAATAAATTTGCAAATTCGTTTTTTACTAAATTTAAAAATTCATTTTCTTATAAATTGAAGAATTTAATTTTTTAATAAATTTAGAAATTCGATTTTTAATGAATTTGAAAACTGAATTTTTAGTAAATTTGTAAATTCGATTTTTTAGATGAGTAATAAATTTAATAATTTATTTACTTTGTAGTATCTGAAGAGCCAAGTTTTATTCTATCCAACGACGCTAATTTCCAAACGATCCATCGATAATGATTTCTCAACCATCCTCTTGGAAGAAGATTTGGATCGACTCCAGGACTCGCCTCGAAGGCTCTTTCGAATTCTTCGACTCCTGCAGAGCAATTTTTATCGAGAACCAAAGTTGCACCGTCTCCAACTTTTAAACTGACAAGATTTCTTCGGTCTGACCTGATAAAGAATTTTGTTTTAAATTATTTCATTGATAATGAGAAATTAATTATCAATAATTATAAATAAATAAAAACAGATAAAAAAGAAACAAATAAAAAAATAAATAAAAGTAAACAAAAAAAAAACAGATAAAAAATAAACAAACAAAAATATAAATTAAAAAACAGATAAAAAATAATAAAAAAATTTCTTAAATTTTTTAAATAAATTTTTCTTTTTAAATATTTTTAACTTTAAAATTAATGTATTGACAATCATCGAATTGTTGCAAAGAATTTTATCAAAAAATTTAATAATAATAGAATTCCATTGAAGAATTTTATTTAGAAAAAAAAATTAAATTCTTGCGAAGAAGTTTGCTAAAATTTTTGAAAATTCTAATTAAATTCTTTTTGAAGACTATTTAGAAAAAAAAATTAAATTTTTGCGAAGAAGTTTGTTAAAATTTTTGAAAATTCTAATGAAATTTTTTTTGAAGAATTTCTTTGAATTTTTTTTTAAACAATGGAGTTTCTTTAATAGTATAAATTAAAATTTTTGAAAATAATTGAATTTAAGGAACAATTTCTTTCAAGTTTTTAAAATATTCGTTTTTGTTAATAATTGAAATTAAACATTTAATTATTGAATTTTATTAAAATTTTAGAAAGTAATTGAATTTTTTTGAAAAATATTAAAAATTGAAATCTTTCGTGAAATTGTTTAGAATGTAATTGAATTTTTGATAAAAATTTTACTATTTATAAATAGAATTGAATTATTCGAAGAATTTATTAAAATTTTTGAAAATAATTAAATTTTTTCTCGAAAAATATTATTAAAAATTTTTTTTAAATTAAATTCTTTCATGGAATATTATTAAAGTTTTAGAAAATAATTTAATTCTTTTGGAATATTTTATAACGAATTAAAGAAAAATTGAATTCTTTCGTAAAATTTTCAAGAAAAAAATTGAATTGTTGCAAAGATTTTATTATTTTAAAAAAGAATTAAATTGTTTTCAAGGATTTATTAAAATTTTAGAAAATAATTGTATTTCTTTGTGAAATTTTATTAAAATTTTCTTTAAAAATAATTGAATTTTTGCAAAAAATTTTACTATTTATAAAAATAATTGACTTCTTACGAAGAATGTTAATATTTATAAAAATAATTGAATTCTTGTGAAGCATTTTATTAAAATTTTAAAAATTAATAAACAAGAACAATTAATTAGTAAATTAGTTAATAATTGGATTTTTTAAAAGTTTGAATGCAAAATTATTCAAAAATTCATATTTGAAAAAAAATTTTATAATTTGCATAATAATAAATAGAAAATTACGTTCCGCGCGTAACATTTACTAGTAAATAAATAATTGTTAGCGAATAGTACGAACTCGTCAATAATGTCCATCTTGAATTTGTAGAATTCAGCCGTTGAAGCAGTGACATTCAAAACATCTGGATTTATTTCCCTTTCTTTCAGCTGAAAATTTAAATAATAATAATTAATTTCTACAGCAGAGTTTTTTAATAATTACAAATAATTACAGATCCTAACGAAATCGAATTAATATTGACTGAATTTTTTTATTAAATGACTGAGTGGTAAATAAGTACACAAACCTCTTGTTCATTCCTCAACGTCGGAGCAGATCCATTTGCTAATTTATACAAAGAAATCCTCGAATTTTTATTTTCTTCTCTATTAGCCAAGAAACTTCCCCTCGTTGGTCTCGGTTTTTCTTTCCTTTTTCTAGATATTATTTTATCCTGAAAAAACAAACAAAACACATTTTAATATTTCTAAAAAAATTAATTAAATTAAATTTGAATTAAAATAAAATAAACTAAATTAAAAACTCCATCAGATGTAAAAATAATTTTTCGAATAAAAATAACTCACTAGTTCGAAAGCAGCAGAAATACGTTTTTCCAAAACTTCGGAATCATTAATCAAAGATTCATACGTTTGTAAATTCGACGAACAATCAGAAAGTACAGAGTCAAATTTTTCCATTTTTGAACTTCCCATTTGGGTCGTTCTTAATTTTCGCCTCTTTTTGAATTTCGATTTTCCTAAAACAGGACTCTTGGGCATTTCTTCAGGTACATTATTTTTTTCTTGTTCCATTTCTTTTTCCACATTTGTGAACGGTTTGAAAAATTCCTCCGAAACTATAGTGTCGGTCAATATTGACGAATTATAATCCTGCGATTCTTTAGTTCGATTCGAATTTGAAGAACTTGTTCCAGGTTGATTGAGAGAATTTATTGTTGTCTCTGTTTCATCATCACTGATTGAACCCTCGGTGAAGAGTTTTTTTCCCATTAAATCGTAGTTGAGTTTTTGTTTTTTTAAATTATCGTAACGTCCCAATGGAGTATTGTCATCAACCTCGTCAATTGGACGTTTCAAAACATTCCACTGTAATCTTCGATTAGAATCTTTATCCTCAGTTTTATTATTTAGATTTTGCAAATTTAAATTTGCTCTTTTTAACAAATTATTGCTAGTTTTACTCAATATTTGTCTACACTCTTGATTCGAATTTACTCCTATTTTATCATCGACCATCCTCGATGCAATTTTTGTCTGAATTTCTCCTAATAAATCCATTTCCATTCTTTTATCACTTACAGACAATTTTGATTCAATTTGGGAATTTTTCTTGCTTTCTATATCTATTTCTTCTCCTCTTTTGCTCGCAGTTTCACAAATTGGCGAAATGGTTTTTTCTAATTTATTCACTTTTTCAAGTAAATTGACAAATTTTGAATAAAATATAGTTGAATATAATGACTCACTCAGAGTGAATCCACAGAATGGCGACGAATTCATGGTAGATGAAATTTTCTGTGAACTAAAACCTTGAAATTGGGGAGATTCTGGAATTAAATGTTCCGAAAGAGAAGCGATATGTTGATTTAATGGTGGAAACTTTTTACTTCTAACTGGAGTCGATAACGATAATCGTTGTTTAATTTGGTGATCTATTTTATTTTCCGAATTCACTGGTAAACTGCAATTTTTTCTTGTGTCTTCAATTTCAAATTCATCTATATTGTCGAATAATTTATCATCGAATAATTCTTCTTGAATAGATGTTTTAAAATCGTTACTTTTCAATTCGGCGTTTTCTGCTTTAGATGCGCTTTTTGTTAAATTTCGATTACACAAAGGGGAATTTCTCGGTATTCCTATTTGGAGAGGTTTAAATTGTTTCGAATTGTTTGTATTTCTATCGATTACTTTTCGTCTCAAATCACTTGAGTTTTCAAGTGTTTTATTCTGACTACTTGAACTCGAGAAATTAGTTTTGGGTGTTTTATTAGATTCGTTTGGAAAAAATTCATTTTCTTTACCAATTACTTCTTTATCAGTGGCGCTTATTTCGATTTCGTTATATATTTTCTGTGCCCTTGAAAGTTTCTCATGACTTATGGCAATATTTTTTCCTCCCGCTGTCGCAAAACCAGAAGTGTAATTTGTCTTCAAGTCAGGGAGATGATTTTCCTTACTGGTTGAAGCAATTTCGAAAGATGGAATTTCCTCTTCTTTAAAAGTCTCTTTCACTTTATTTTCAATTTCTTGATAAATTTTTTCAGCTTTCGCTAACTTGTCCTTGTCGATATTTATACTTCTTCCTCCCGCCGTGGAAAATCCAACTGAAATATTAGGAGTTTCGAAATTTTCCTCCATTTTCAAATTAGAACAATTGGTTTTATCCGTGGTCTTTGAAAATTTGTCCGTTTCTAATTTTGATTCACAGCTTTCGTTATTTTCAGTTTCTTGATACATTTTTTCAGCTCTCGCTAATTTGTCTTTGTCGATTTTTATACTTTTTCCTCCCGCTGTGGAAAATCCAACTGACATATTAGAAATTTGAAAATTTTCCTCCGTTTTTAAATTAGAATTGGTTTTATCCGTGGTCTTTGAAAATTTGTCAGTTTTTAACTTTGATTCGTGATTCTCGTTATTTTCAGTTTCTTGATACATTTTTTCAGCTTTCGCTAATTTGTCTTTGTCGATTTTTATACTTCTTCCTCCCGCCGTGGAAAATCCAACTGAAATATTAGGAGTTTCGAAATTTTCCTCCATTTTCAAATTAGAAGAATTGGTTTTATCCGTGGTCTTTGAAAATTTGTCCGTTTTTAATTTTAATTCACAATTCTCGTTATTTTCAGTTTCTTGATACATTTTCTCAGCTCTCGCTAATTTATCCTTGTCGATTTTTATACTTTTTCCTCCCGCGGTGGAAAATCCAACTGACAGATTAGGAGTTTTGAAATTTTCTTCCTTTTTCAAATTAGAAGAATTGGTTTTTGAAAATTTGTCCGTTTTTAATTTTGATTCACAATTCTCGTCATTTTCCGTTTCTTGATACATCCTTTTGGCTAGTTTTAATTTATCTTCGTTAATCTTTATACTCCTCCCTCCAGCTGTTGAAAATCCACAAGCGCCCGTAAATTTAGTTTCTTCTAAATTTAAATCCTTCTTCAAATCCTCTGGTGTTATTTTGTCCCCGAAATTTTGAACGAAATCAAAACTATCCATTTCTTGAAACATTAATTCCTCCAATTCCATTTTCTCGTCGAATTTTTCCGTTTTTTGATCACTTTCATTTTTTGTTACGGTTTCTTTTTCGAAATTTTTCGGATCTTCATTTTCGCCATTTAATTTTGTAGATTCATTCAAACTTTTACCTGTATAAAGCCATTGACTTAAATCAAAAATTTCAGACTCCTCTTCCATAACAGGAATTTTTTCTTCCGACTTATTGTCTTTGAAAATTTTTACTTGCTTCGAATGTGGTGATTTAGTTGTATTTCTATTTTCCTCTTGACAATGATTCTCTTTCAACACTTTTTCTTTTATCACCTCATTCATTTTCGGTTTATCTTTTATTTCGGTGAAGGATTCATTTGTATTTTTAAAAAATTGAGAAAATGGCACAAGTTCCGTTTCATTTATAATCGGTGTTGTAGGCTTTGTTAAATGAGAAAAATCTGCCGAAGCACGTTCGAGTTGAATGACAGACTTTAACATATCACTTTCAGGGATATCAATTTTGGGAATTTCGAAATTTTCCTGCCCTTCTAAAAAATTCTTGACTTCTTTGTATTTATCGATTAATGATTTTGTTACAGATGAGGTAGCATTCGATTCTACTTTAGTTTCACTATCACTGCACTTAGGACTAGAATTTTTTAAATTTGTAGAATTATTAGAAACTTCCTCTTGAACAGTCGTTGTAATTAATTCCGCTTCTTTTACTATTTCACTATTTATTTTCGATTCTTCAGTTTTAAGTATATTCTCAAAACTTGGTGTAATCTCAAAATTTTCGAAGGCATTTGCTTTAAAAATTTGACGTTTAGGTTTCCTTTTTTTGTTATTACTCAAAATTGGCGATGCATCATTTTCTAATCGGATTCTCTCGAGAATTGGAGTTTGATGCTGTTTCGAAGCTTTATCAATCTGAAATTAAAATTAAGATTCAATTTAAATTAAGATACAAAATTTCTCTCGCATTTATGAAAGAATTTTGAATTTTACAAAGAAGTTTAATAATAAAATATTTTTTTTCAACCTTACACTTTTCGAGTATTTATTTTCACTTACTGACGAATTGTGCAATTTCGTTGCTAATTTTGCCTCTGGAGTTTCTAAATCACTTGTCCATGGCTCGTTTATTTTATAAATAAAAGGAGCAAGACTTGCAGGTGTCTTTGGAATCACAGGTGAATTAGATACACTAGAAAATACAATTAAATAAGAAATATTAAACAAGAAAGAATAAATTTAATATCTTTTGCTTCTTAGTGAAAATAAATATGATAAAAAATAATATTCATTATTTACATAAATATAAATAATAGATTATTAGAAAAATTAATTGTTTTACTTTTCTTCAACATCAGAAAGTATCACTGGAGTTTTGAACGAATTAAGAAAAGAGCAATCTTCCGGAATTCGTTGTAATGTTCTTTCATTTACTTGATTAGTTTCTTCCCACTCTAGAAATTACAAAAAAATATATATTAAATCCATTAATTATTAAACCATCTACTTCTCAAATTAACATGCATAATAAAGAATTAATAAAAAAATCTTTAACACGTAAACCACGTAATTAACACGAAAAGCGACACAGACTTGAATTTTAGTCTATTTAAAAAATCTGTACTAAATATTAATTATAATTTTCAACATAATACTAGCATAATATTACGAAATGACGAAATATTTTTAAACAATAATATCACATTTTTTGACATAAAAATAAGGCTGAAATAAAAAATGTAAACAAGTGTCAATATTTTTAGGTTATGTTGCATTGAAAACCGAACCAATTTCTATATATTTTCGGTTTCAATAAAAATAACAAGAAATCCTTTATGATAATAACAATATAAGTAGAAAGAATTATAAAAATATTTATTAATAAAAGAGAATACTTACCGGAAAATAAATCTTGTTGTGAATTATTAATTGGATAGTCCTCGTTAATATTATTTGTAATAAACATATTATTGCAATAATTTTTTTTCTCACTTTCTCCGTCATTATTTTCAACGTCATTCGAATTATTTTCGCTCATGTTTTCTCGTATTTATCCATTAAAATATGAAAATAATAAATGTTAAAAGGAAACAAAGAAAAATATCCAAAACTTTCGTAAAGTCAACGTGATACTGTTTTGAATACGATTGCGCAGGCTTGAAGACACAGCTAGATAGAAAAATAAATTCACTTTTGTAATAATAAATTTTATAGAAAAAATAATTACGAAAATAATAAATTACTGAATAACAATTAATATTTTCTTTCTAATTATTTAATATTTTGATATTTAATGTTATTAAATAATAAAAAAGTATTTTTTTTGTTAATAGACTGAAGTTAGTTGATATCGTACTCGTATATCGATTCTTATCGAAGTTATCGATAAATTCAAAAATGATGAAATTGATCTGCGCATGCTCGGTAGGGAGAATTTTTTTTCTTTCTGCAATTACGGTCTGTTGAAACAATTAATTGACAAGTAAAAAGTTTCTTATTTAAGTAAAATTAATGAATAATTATTCTCTATCATTATAAGTACCAAATATTTGCTCTATCTTACACAAACATGCATTTTCAAAAAAGTCATTGCTGGTCGTGGGGTGGGGAGAGAGGTCGCCATCTTGGAAAAAGTTTGCCGCAGCCGTTTACTTGTTCCCGCGAAACCGTGCCGTTAACATCGTAAATGTAGTCTAATTTCTTATAAAAATATCATTAAAATCGTGTTATTCGTACAGATTGTGAGTGATTATCGATAAAATATGAGTAAACAAAATAAATTAATCGGTATTATTGAGGAAAATATGAGAATTTGTCATTTTGTCTCTTGTACATCGGTCGTGAAAAAATTCGCCAAAAACCGTTAAAAACTGTAAAAATATTATTATTCCTACGAATTTCAGACAATTTTTGATAAAACATACCTAATAAGTTGATTTTGTTGGTATTATACATAAAAAAATGTGAGGGCAATTTTTGGAGCCAAGATGGCGCCGATTCTGCGGAATTCCTTTGAGCCGGTACAAAGTCTCGCGTATTCGGGAAGAAAAACAACACGTATTGTACAAATTTCGGTGTCAAAATCGGGCGTATTATGGAAGAACAAGTAATGTATTTTTGTGATTCTGTTAAATTAAAGTCGCGTGGGCGGTATATTGACAATTTACTTGCGAATTCTAATTCCTGCGTAAATCGTGACTTAATAATATTATGGGATAGGGAGGGGGAGTGGGGAATATTGTTCGAGAAATCGGGAGTGTGGAATATTGTCATCATTTTCGTCGTTTATTGTTCATCGTTATTGTTTTCATCTAAAGGTAATAATACTCTCCTTCGTCTATTTCTTTTTTTTTATTTTGGTGACCATTCATAAACTGCATAATCTTTTGTTTACAAATTTTACCTCCCCCCCCTTGTGTAGCACTGTTGCATGTTTTGGCGCCATTTTTTTTCTTTGTTTCAAGTACATATGTTTTACCTCCGGTGCCCCTTTGAACTGTTGCATTGTTTATGAACGTCACCTTAATAAAAAGAAAAGTGTGATATTCTTTCGGACCGTCCGCAAGAATTAATCAAGAATTGGTGATAAAGCAGGTACTTTTTACGTAATATATATTTATTTAACATAGTATTTATTAACATTAGACAACATGCAAATATGTGGTACACATGTTGTCAAAATAAACACGACGCTATTTATTTTCTTCCAATTTTTTCGTGCTTCTCATAGTTTTCATTAAATTTTTGTCTCTCAATCATTGCACGAGATGATTTTTATGAGATAAATTGAAAACGATTTCTCCATGTTTGACATTTTTTGGTCTACCACAAACCCATGGCGTGAATTCATTGCGGTAATAATTCACAATTTTGCTTTTATTAACCTCTAAAGTGCAAATAAGTGCAAAAAAGTGGTGTATTTGTTTCGTTTACCGTGAGATTTAAACTGAATAACGTGAAGTTTACCGAGAATGCGTGGGTGAAAGTATCGTTTCGATGACGTGCGACAACACGTGATCAACATAACCTCAAAAAAGATTATTGAGCGCAAATCAAAACAGTTGACTGCGAGTTTTTCAATAGAATAATATTGTTGTTTTTTAACATGATATAAAAGAAATTGTGAATAAAATGCAGAAAATGGGTCACAAACAAGCACCTAGTGATATTTATTGGACTATTTTGGAATTAAAGGGACTTCTCGAAGATGATGAATCTTGTGTTTATTTCGAGAGACACAGAAAACACATTGGAATGCATCCTTTTCACATGCAAAATATTAATTCATCATTGAGAGAAATATTAAACTCTAAACTTAATGCGTATGACGTTGAGTAAGTAGAAAATTTACGAATATTTCTGGAAATATTTAGATATTTTTGTTGCTTTTTTGTCGTGGGTTTTAAATTTTGTTTTTTTTGTAGGTTATGTTATCAGCATGTGGGAAATTTTTCTTAATAAATTAGAAATAGGTGTTTTTATGAATGTCGATAATAAATTAGAATTAGGTGTTTTTATGAATTTTATTTTTAGATTGGATGGACTTTTATTGGCTTATAAAAATCCAACACTTCTCACTCCTCATGCAGGAATTCTACATGACACTTGTTACATTCATTTGGATATAGAAGCGGATTTTTATATTTTTAGACCGAAAGTAGACTCCAAGATAAAGGGTATATTTATTTAGTTTTTATTTTCAGTTTTAAATTTACAATTTTATTTCAAGAGGTTTTTGTGTAATTTTAAAAAAAATTTTCGACAGGAATCGTTAACAAAGTAGGAATAAATCACATTGGAGTTTTAGTTCATAAAGTATTTATTGCTTCTATTCCACAACCGGAGAACGAAGAAGACTGGCCTGGAAATAACGTAAATATGGGACAAGAAATTAAATTTACAGTAAACGAAGTAGATTTTAGTAGCAGGCTGCCTTATATTCGAGGTGTTTTATACGAGGAGTGAGTTTTTTTATTTCGTTTCTAATAAGAAAACAATTTTTGTCTAAATAGTTGTTTTTTTAATTTATTTACAATTTTTAATATTTTATTAGTTTTTTAAATTTTTATTTAGAACTTTATAATTAGTTTTTAGGAATTAAAATTTATTTACCCGTTTCAGTGAATATTTGGAGGGTTGCAAACTCTATAATAATGAATTTACGGAGGAAAATGAAGAAATTGAAACGAGTGAAAATTTAAATCCGGCGAATATTAGTTTTCAAGAAGATTTCGTCGCCGATTCGTCGGGAATTTCAGCACGAAAAAGAAAGCGAATTACATTCGATAGCGATTCTGAGGATGATGATAATGAGGTGAAAGCTGGAAAAAAGGCGAAGAAAATGAAACTAAAAGATGAGGAAAATAAAAATTGCCCCAACACTGGTAATTTATCGTTTGATATTGAAAATCACGAATCTGAAAACCAGGAACCAAAAATAAAGAAACATAAGAAAATTCGCTCTGAAATTAAAAAAGAAGAAGAGGAAAAATCTACGAAAAGAAATAAAAATTCTTCGATCGATGGAAATTCAACGTTGGACACTGAGAATGAAACCGAAAGTGAAAATCGAGAGCATAAAATAAGGAAACCTAAAAAAATTAAGAGAGAAAAACAGGACAAAATAAATAAAAATTCCGTAATCGATGCAAATTTAACATTGGATACAGAGAATGAAACCGAAAATGAGAGTCAGGAGCAAAAAATAAAGAAGAATAAAAAAATTAAGAAAGAAAAGGAGGACAAAATGAAGAGAGATAAAAATTCCCTGATCGATGGAAATTCTACGATAGTCAGTGAAAATGAAAACGAATCTGAGAGTCAAGGAGAAAAAATCAAGAAACCTAAAAAAATTAAGAAAGAAAAAGAAGACAAAACGAAAACAGATAAAAATTCTACATTACTCACTGAAAATGAAACCGAATCTGAGAGTCAAGAGGAAAAAATAAAGAAACCAAAAAAAATTAAAAAAGAGGAAAAAACTGCGAAAGGAAATAAAAATTCCTCGATCGATGGAAATTCAACTTTGGACACTGAAAATGAAACCGACGATCAACAACCAAAAGTAAAGAAAAATAAAAAAATCCTCTCCGAAATAAAAAAGGAAAAAGAGGAAAAATCTACAAAAGCAAATAAAAATTCCCTAATTAATGGAAATTCAACAAAGGACACTGAAAGTACAAATGAATTAGAAGATCAAAAACCAAAAATAAAGAAACAAAAAACATCTGATAAGGAAGAAGAAAAGAAAAATTCCTCAACACAAGACACGGACAATGATAACAACGAATTTGACACTGAAATTTCAACAATAAATAAATCACCGAAAAAAGCAAAAAAATCGAAGAGGAAAATTAAAATTGAACCTGATTCCGATGAAATGGAGAGTGTCATTAGAAAAATTAAGACTGAACCAAGTGACGAGAGTTTTAAAGTAAAAAAAGAACCAACTAAAGTGGTAAAATGTAATAAGGAGGATTCTGATTGACGAAAATCTCACGAACAATTATTATTTTATTACAATTTTTGTATTATTTACAAATTTTTCTTGTAAATGGATGTCATTTTCATTAAGAAAAAGAGATTAATGAAAATGAGTCTTTTATACATATATTTTTGAAAATAGAAGACAAATCTTTTATAAAAAAATGAAAAGTATATAAAAGTCTATAAATTCATAATTTTTCAATTATATTATTACTATGTAAATATTCTAAAATTTGTCGACATTTAAGTTGTAAATAATTACAAATAAATGGCTGTTAATTATAATTACGTTAGTTTGATAATTTTTATTCTCTCAAAATTTAAATTTAATTTGTTTTTTTAATTTATTTAATAAAATTATGACAAAAACGAAACAAACAAACGAAAAAAAAGTAAAAGAATAAATACAAAATTTTCTGTCAAAAGTGATTTTAAATTAGTAATAAAAATTAGTAGGCAATTTAAAATTAAAATATTAATTCAAAGTTTTTAAATTAAAAATCTAAAAAATTAAAATTTTTCGGTTTTTTAAATTTAAAATTCAATAATTCCAAAATTACTGATTTAAATTAATTAAAATTATTTCTAAAAAATAAATAATTTTTAAATAAAAATTTCTGTTAATGATAAATGTTTATCTAACTTAAAATTTTTTTGTGAAAAAGTTTATTATTAAATAAGTAGATTTTTAACATTGATTATTAAATTAAAAAGACTTGCAAATTTAGAGAGAATGAATAAAAAATACAAAAATAATAGAAAATTAAAAATAATGGAAAATAATAAAAATTAAAAATAATAGAAAATAATTAAAAAATAAATGTTTAAAATAATATTAATATATAAATATCACGGTTCATTTATGAATAAACAACAATACTTGATGTTTATAACAAATAATTTTTATTACACTAACTATTTACACTGAAACACACAATTTTCGTTTCATAAAATAATTTAAATTGTTTGCCAAAAAGTGACATTGAAGTAACATTTTATACTTGAAGTTGACAAATTTTTTTGATTTACATCTACTACGTTCAAACATTCAGATGTTCATTTATAGCCGAGTAGTAATTCAAATAATTACGATTACATTTATAATTTTTGTTTTTCTTTTAAATAATTATATATCACATTTTATTGTGTTAATAAAAGAGTTATTTTACTAAATTTTCTTCCTTTTTTTTGCATTTCTTATTTGAAAAACTAAAAAATTTTGTAGAAATTTTCAAATACTTTTTCTTTATAAAGTACAAAATTAAAATTTTTGTCTAGGAACAGTTTTCCTTTTTTTCGTATCACATTGAAATTTGTGTTCGATATTCAAATGGGTTTTTTTTTAAATATTCTACTCAGCTTTCTTATAATTATTAGGTACACATAGCTTTTTATACAATTCAACTGTGCAAATATTTACATTTATAAAGTCATTCGTGCATCAACAGCCCTATTCTTTTTACAGACAGATAATTTTCAATTTTTCGTAAATATCAAATTTTGTTAATTAAATAATCTCTGGCTAATTAAATAAATAATTCATAAATATAAATATTTTTTTCGCATAAAAATATTCTTTTGTATTATTTTCATACTATAATGTTTAAGAAAATAATTTAATTAAATTATACTAAATTATAATAATTAGACAAAATTTTTTTGGTATTCTGAAAGTAACATTTTTTTGTATTAATTTTTCCTACAGTTAAGAAATGAAAATTTAATTTTTATTCCGACTGCGTAATACACTGAAAAAAAAATTATTTGATTTAATAATAATCAATTTATTATTTCATATAAATATTTACTTGACTTGAATCAAATAATTTTTATTCAAATAAAATTGTCTTTGAAATAAATTTTATTTTAATCAATAATTTCAGTACTTGAAGCAAATAATATTTAATTGATTTAAATAAATATTATTTGGGGTTATCTAAATAATATTAATTATAACCAATTACTTGTTTATTAGCAAATAAATATTTACTTGAATGAAATAAATTTTTTCAGTGTATAATTCAAATTGAAAATTATTTTCCATGTCTGTCTGCATTAAGAATTAAATTATTGTACTATGCAATGCCGAATAAATTGTACGATTGACGATTTCTTACACCAATGATATTTACCGAAAAAACGTCGCAAAAAAATTTCTTTTCTATAGCCAGGAAAAAGAGGTTAGAAATAAATAATTTTAATAAATAATTTCTTTCTCCTCTCTGGAGAGGATTCAAAACTGTAATTATTTAGTCAACGAAAGTATTTTTTTTTTTGAATTAAATAACCAAATATTTATTTTTTTTCGATAAATTGGATAAAATTGAAAGGAGTGAGAATGAAATTTCTAAGACACAAATCACAGCATTCAAAAAAATATCATGGCTATGGCAATGGCCATGGCAAACCGGAAAAATCCACAGGTCCCCCTAAACCAGCGTCAGCTTCCAAAAGACTCATAATAACTGCCATTGCAGCCTCATCATTTCCATCCGTTGGAAGTGAATTTGGCGATTCGGTAATTGCACTATTTCCAATAATATCCATTACTTCGTCATGTGGAGCAATTCCTGAGGCAAAAAGAAAATTATTAATTATTCATAATTTTATGAGAATTGAATTATTTCCTAAAGTATTCGGATTGTAAATTAAATTTCATTTTTAGTTGAAAAATAACAAAACAAAAAAAAATACCTTGATCGTTAGCAGCACTGCTTAATTGAACATTGTTTCTAATCTGATTGTAGGCTGAAGTTGAATTACTCCCGTCACTTCCAATTCCCGATTGTGATAGATCGTGACTTCTTTCTGGCGATTCTGTGGTTGTAATCTGTGGCTGAAAACAATTTTATTTTTTGCAATTTACATCATTTCATTTTCATTCGTATCTTGGAAAAATGATCGAATTTTCAAAAAATTGTGTTTTATTCAAATTCAAAAAAAAAAAAAAGAGGAAAAAATCACCTCGGGGTTGAATAAAACAGGTTCGGGTCCAGAATCCGGACTTCTTACGGAAGATGAATCTTCGCATCTTCTTTGTAGGTCCAGAACCTCTTCTGCTATTTGCCTGCCAATTTTTCTCACCTCCACTTGACTAGAAATTAATCTTTCCAAACCTCCATTACCTGAAATGATTGAAAAGTAATTTTTGGTTAAAAAATAAGTGAAATATTATGGATTTGGATAATTTTATTATCCACTAAATTTCTAACTATTATTATTTTTCACCCAATCATAATTTTAAATTGTAAAATTATAATTTTGAGTGAATAATTGCTTACTCAAATTTTATTTGATTTATATTTACAAAAAAAAAAAGATTGGAAATTTCGATAATTAATTTTTTCGTAATTTTTCTTACTTTGTGTGAAATAATCGTAATTTCCCTGAACACTCGATCCTTCAGATTTTATTGCGCTGCTTTCAACTTGCCTTGTGTCGAAACTGAAAAATAAATTTGCTTGATAAAATTAAATGGGTATTTTTTAGAGAGAGAGAGAGAGAGAGAGAGAGAGAGAGAGAGAAATTATTTAGAAATTTTTGAAAGAATATTTTTTTAAAGTCGTAAATTAAAAAAATTAAATTTTTTGCGTACTAAACAGCTGAATTTTTCGCTATTATATATTCAATTTCTTTGGTCCAAGGATTCTTGAATGATTTCCATTCCGATTGCAGTCTAACAAAACTGGCTTCTTTACTTCTAAACCTATAAATCTGAAAGTAGATTATTTTTAATTTTATTAACTACTTTTTTATTTGGTAATTAATTAACATTAAATATTTTTTATTTAGTAATTAATTTATATTAATTAATTTTTATTCAATAATTAATTTATGTTAATTACTTGTTATTCAATAATTAATTTATATAATTAACTTTTTATTTAAATAATTAATTTATATTAATTACTTTTAATTTTGTAATTAATTTTTAATTAATTATTAAATTAAGAAACAACAGTAATAAATATAAATTTTGAATTCAAATAGAAATTAAAATTTAAATTATGGAAAAATTTTTGTATTTTTTAAAATTATTTTTTTTATTAAAAATTATTTTCAATTATTTTTTATTCACACCTGTGTGGATATTCTCTCTTGTGATTGAAGAACTGTTTTGTGAGATTCGGCAAGAAATGGAATGTCATCATGATGATAATATTCATACATACTTGTTCCAAGTAATTCCTGAGGTAAATATCCTAAAACTAATGTAACTCTGAAAAAGATAATCGCATTGGAATAAAAAAGAAGGCATAAAAATTTATTAAATTAATCAAAATTATTTAATTTTTAATTTAAAAAAAATATTATAAAGTAAAAATTAAATTATACATTTTTGAAAGTGAATTAATTTTTTTTAAATTCATTTTTTTTTTACCTCTGATCAACGAAAATAAATTTTCCATCCATTGCATGACGAGAAACAAATTCAATGGCTCGTAGTCTAGGTCTATTGGACATAGAACTTGGTATTGATAATGCTGTTTGTATTCTTCCAACTGCCACTAAACACGATAAATTGCAAGCCTCACCATCACCTTCACCTTCCTGTTCTTCAAAGCCAATTTTCGTTGGTGCCCAAGATTTCAAATATCCAGTACATTGAATCACACAGTACTTCCAATCTGGAAAATTTTTTTCCAAAATGACAAAACAGTTATTAAATCACTAATTTATTAATAAAATTTATTAATTCATATGCAAAAAGTCAGAAATTTTTTTTTTAAAATTAATACTTAGTAAAATCAGGTCTCGGATATTATAACATTTTCGACTTTTTTTTCGAAATTTACAATTAAAAAAAGTTTCAATTATTGAAATTTTGTTAAATTTAATTGAAAATAATTGACTTTTTTCAAAGTGCTTTATAAAAATTTTTGAAAATCAACTTTTGAAGAATTTTAATTGCAAATTTTGAAAATAATTGAAATTGAATTCAATTTTAATTAAATTCCTCGAAAGAATTCAATTTCTAAAAATTTTTTTAATATATTTCGAAGAAATTCAATTATTTTCTAAATTCTTAATAAATCCCTCGAAATAATTCAATTATTTTTATAAATAGTAAAATTCTTTGCAAGAATTCAATTATTTTTATAAATAGTAAAATTCTTTGCAGGAATTCAATTATTTTCATAAAATCTTTAATTCTATTTGAATTCTTGGAAGAATTCAAATATTTCCATAAAATTCAATTATATTTCCTAAAATTTTTATAATTTCTTCGAATCAATTCAACTATTTTTATAAATAATAAATAAATTTTCAAAATTTACAATAAAAAAGAGATTCAATAATTGAAATTTTGTAAAATTTAATTGAAAATAATTGATTTTTTTTCAAAGTGTTTTATAAAAATTTTTGAAAATCAACTTTTAAAGAATTTTAATTGCAACAGGGTTGCCACAGGTCAGGGAAGTCAGGGAAATCAGGGAAAAGTCAGGGAAAGTAAAATTAGTCAGGGAAGTCAGGAAAAAGTCAGGGATTTTTACTAAAAATACTGGAAAAAATTGAATTTTTAAAATTCATGAGAAAACTTTGAATTTTTTTCCTTTTTGCTTCGTAAATTATAAAATTTCCTCGAATTTTAATACAAAACCTTCAATTTCTGACAATAATTTTTTTTTAAATAACTTAATTTTTCAAAAACTATTATAAAATTATGACTTACAAATTATTTTATAAATAATTTTTACAATTTTCATAAATACTAGATTGATAGAAGAATTTCAGTTAAAAATACTAAAAAAGATTTGATTTTGGAAAAGTTACAAATGATTACGGAAATTCAATTATTTTTAAAAGTTACAAAAATTCTTCGCAAAATTTCAATTATGTTCAAAAATAAAAAAAAAATTCTCGTCAAAATTTCAATTATCTTTATAAATAATAAAATTCTTCATCGAAATTCAATTATTTTTTAAAATTTTATTAAAATTCTTGTTAAAATTCTACAGGAATTCAATTATTCAATATTTAATAAATTTCTTTGAAATAATTCAATTATTTTCATAAGTAATAAAATTTTCACAGGAATTCAATTATTTAAAATACAAAATTTCATAAAATTTTTCGAAAAATATCAATTATATAAAAAGATTTTTATAAAATATTTTCAATGAATTCAATTATTTTTATAAATAATAAAATTCTTCACCGAAATTCAATTACTTTTATAAACTTGAATAAAATTCGTTGTAAGAATTCAATTATTTATATAAACTTGAATAAAATTCGTTGGAAGAATTAAATTATTTTCAAAATAATAAAATTCTTCGCAGAAATTCAATTACGTTCAAAAATTGAAAAAGAAATATTGTTAAAATTTCAATTATCTTTATAAATAATAAAATTCTTCATCGAAATTCAATTATTTTTTAAAATTTTAATAAAATTCTTGTTAAAATTCCAAAGGAATTCAGTTATTCAATTTTTTTAATAAATCAATTAAAAATAATTCCATTATTATATAAAATTCTTTATGAGAATTCAATTTTAACAAACATTCAATTAATTCAATAAATTATTTATTTTTTAATTTAAATAATTGAATTTTTTTAGAATTTTCTAATAAAAGTTGATTTAAAAATGAATAAACGAATAATCGATTTATTATTATTTATAAAAATAATTGAATTATTGCAACGAATTTTATTACATTTTTTTTAAATAATTGAATTTTTTTTGTGAAATTGTACTTCTTGTAAAAATAATTGAATTCTTGTGAAGGATTTTTTTAGGATTTTTGTAAATAATTAACTTATTTTAAAAAATTTTATGGCAATTTAAATTATTACAAAACATGAAGAAGACGATCACTCCGGAGTGATCGCCTTCTTCATGTTTTGTAATAATATTCTTATAAGTTGTTGAATTTCAAAAAGGTTTAAATTTGAATATTTTGAAGAATTTTAATTCCTACAGAAAAATAATAATGATTAAATATTTATTTAAGAAAGAAGTTATTGATGTTTTTAAATAATTTTACAATTAAAGAAGTTTGTAAATAAATGTAATAGAACATTTTTTTTGAGTATCTAATAATTTTTAGAGTGAATCAGAATATTCTTTAGGGTCAGGGAAAAAGTGAAATTTTTTTCTGGAAATCAGGGAAAAGTCAGGGAAAAATAAAATTAAATATTTGTGGCAACCCTGTGCAAATTTTTGAGAAATCAATTGATTTCTCCAAAATTTAATGGAAAATCTTCAAGTGTAAATTTAAAAATGGTAATTAATAAATATTAGCTTCAAAAAATTATATTAAAAAATATTTTTGAAGAAAATAATTTTTAGAATTTTTACATTCTAATTTTTTAAAATTCAATTATTTTCGATATTTTCAAATACAAATTTCAAGAAATTCAAATACATACAAAAAATAATAACATTAAAATTTTTTATAATTATTTTTAACATTTTAATAACATATAACAATCATGTTCAAAATTTTTAATCAAAATTCTTGAAAAAAATTTTTTTTTAATTATACAAAAATTCTTTTAAGAAATTTAATTCTTTTCGAAAAATTACATTACAATATTTAAAATAAAACTTTTTCTTGTAATTTTTTTATTTTAATTTTTTGAGATTCAATCAACTTCGAATAAAGTAAATCAAAATTTTTTTAAATTTACTTTTTTAGATTAATTAAAATTTTGGAGAAATCACGTTTTTATTAATAATTAAGATTCTTTAAAAATTCAATTATTTTTTTTTGAATAGAATTTACAAAATTTTAATTGTTTTGAAAATTTTTCAATTGTATATAATATTTAAAAACTATTATATTTCATTGTTTTAAAAATATTTTTGAAAAATTAATTTTAAGAATTTCTTTATTATAATTTTTTGAAGATCCGAGGCCTGTAAAATTTTAATTCAAATTTGGAGAATATATTAATATAATAAAAAAAATATAAACAATAATAAAAATAATAATGGTAATAATAATAATAATAATTATGAAATAATAATAAAAATAATAATAATAACACAGATGCTTTAAAATAAATGAAATTGATTTTAATGGAGAGATGAATTTAAGATGAATTTGACGATCAAGTCGAATACGAAGCCAAGAGCGATTACGCAATAGCTTTGTTATACTTTTCAATGAGAGATGATATGCATCGTTAACATGATGATCGAATCATTCGCATACTTGATTTTACTGCTCCCTTAGAATACATACATTCGACATTGTATATATTATTGTAAAGCATTGATAACAAACTCATTTGGAAATTTAAAAATTAAAACAATATACTTCATAAAATAAAGTATAATATTTTATTTTAATTTGTCACTACTTTTTTTCCAAAAAAAAATTCTTTTTTGTAAGTAGAAAAAAATTCTATTGACACTCGGGTATTTTTTGAATTTTTCGAATTTCAATCGATAAATTGCCTATACACACAATAGAATCAGAAATTAGGTTTGAAATTATATAACGCTTTGTGAATAAAAAAAAAGATCGCGCGACTACCACTTTATTGCTTCTTTAAAGAATTCGAGACTAGAATTAAGAAATTGAATCAAAAATAAAATCTTATGTCATAATATAAAAAGACAATTTTTAAGAATATAGAAAAATTTTATTTTTATCATTATGTACAGAAAATAGTTTGGTATTAAAATAAAATGCAATTCTTTTGCTAATCCATTTTTAACTTATCTTGATCAGAAAAGTAAGAGCGTTGCATCTAATTACTTGATTATTATTATCATTTTTATTGTTATCTATATTTTTTATCACTATTATTTAAAAATTATTTATAATATATATTATATTTATAGATATAAATAATTTATAATAAATTAATAAAAACAAATGGTTCCTTATGAGAAAGGAAAAATATAAAAATTATTTATAAACAAATATTATGACTTTTACTACTGTTATTTAATATTTTAATTATTCAAATCGATCTGAATGGAGCAATATTTGATTGATAATAATGGCAATTGAGAAAGAAGTGTGTTTTATTATATAAATAATTAAGTTTCGTGTGCATACGTTAAATAAATAATAAATTGACAAAGACTTAATCTGTTTTACGTTCAAATTGTGTATGTATAAAATAAGGTTTGGAAAAAAATTAAATGATTTATTATTGGAAATGAAGAAAAAAAAACAATTTAATCGGGGGAGGGGCAGAGTATACCTATTTGCCCGGACGTGTATATATAAACCTTTCGCCTCTCACGATCTGCATTTTTTAAACTTTATTATAAAACATGTTGCAAGATCCTGAAGGCATGCGCAACATTCGCCCAAACAAATCTTACATATATACGTCCCTTCTAGAATTTACCACAATAATACCATATGACGACATACATTATAATAATAATAGTTGACCTGCCATAATTTAGAAAAACAAAAAAAAGTTTTGATCTGTATAAAATTCTCAATTTTTTATATTTTGGAAAAAATTATCACCGAGATTTTGTTGCTTTTTCCGTCTTTGGCATCCGGTATTAGTGTGAGTCTCCTCCTTAATTTGCGCATCGACACAACGTGAATTAACCTCCATTTTTCGTTTCATTCTGCAAAGAAATGATCTTCTTGCACCGGGACATAATCGAGAAACACCTTGGGGAACATCCGTTTTTACCGGAAGCATTGCTGTAAACAAAGAATATATAAAAAAAAAATTTTTAATATGAAGCAAAATAATAATAATAATAATAATAATAATAATAATCAAAATAATAATAGGAAAAGTGGTAATAATAATAAAAATAGTAATAGTAAAAGTATTAGTAATAATAATAATAAAAATAAGGCAAACAAATATTTTCATTCATTGTCCGAATGTTGTCGTTTTATTTGCCTTATTTTATAAAATAGGACGTTAAAGATTATTTAACTAATAATAGAAATAATTAAATAAAAAAATATTTAAATGTTCCTATAGGAACATAATAATAAATAGAATTTAAAAAAGTAAATAAAAAATATGTTTAATGCTCCTACAGAAACATTAAAATAGTCACACTTGTGTTTAATTTTACATACTAAAGTAATTCCCGTTTCTATTACTTTTAATTATTTCAAGAAATCAATTAAAGAAAATTTTATTTCTGAATCATTAAATTAATGTACTTGTAGTAATAAAAGAAAATATTTTATTTTACTAGTCTTGTACAATCAAGCATCAGATCATTAATAATCTGTTTTTTTTTTGCTTCATCTCTCTCTCTCTCTCTCATTTCTTTGAGAGAAATATATGCACGCATCATTTGAAAGTAGAAACCCCTTGGTTATGCAATAACAAGGTGATAATTCATTTCTTTGAACCAATCGCGAGAGATAGGGAAAAATATATTTATAGGCATAATGATGATCCTCGTTAAACGATGGTTGACTTGCTTTCCTCACACCTGATCAATTACTATAGTAGGTTTCTCCTTCACTAAATCGTTTTATACTCACTTTTATCATTTTTATAGACCTTTTTAAAATGCAAAATTTTCTTAAATTACTTCTTTATCTTGGTGACTTTTATTTTTTGTTGAAGAAAATTAATATTTTATTCGTGAGTGTACTATTTATTTTATTGGAATTACTTTCTCTGAGAATAGAGAAAATGGAGATAGTTTTGGTGGGGAAATGTATATAGAAAAATATCGAGTTATCATTTTTTTTAGTAACGATTATACTGTCGGACAATAAACGCTAACAATTTTCATCTTTTTCTGAAAAAAAAAGAACCAAAACTGTCAAATAGGCTATTTTTGGGTAACCTCAATGCCAAAAGACCTCAAAAAGACAACGCTAAATTTTTATGAATAATGTATTAATGAATTGTTTATTTAGTGACAAGGAATAGGAAAAAAATAATTCGGTTCGTCGGAAATGTTCACAACTTTCATCTTCTTCCAAAAAATGGGGGCAAAACTGTGAAATGAGCTATTTTTGGTTAACTTCAATACCAGAAAACCTCAAAAAGACAATTCGCTAAATTTATGAATAATGTATTAATAAATTGTTTATTTAGGGACAAAAAATAGGAAAAAATAATTCGGTTCGTCGGAAATGTTCACAATTTTCATCTTTTTCTAATAAAGCGGGGCAAAACTGTGAAATGGACTATTTTTGACATTTACAAATTTTTCGAAAACATCAATATCTTTTTTTTAAATAAATATTTAATTATTATTTTTCCATAGGAATTAAAATTCTTCAAAAGATTCAAATTCAAACCTTTTTGAAATTAAACAACTTATAAAAAATTGTTATAAAACATGAAGAAATCGATCACTCCGAGTCTTCGACTCGAAGCAATCGATGTCTTCATGTTTTATAATAATTAAAGATAACCGAGTGATAAAATCATAATTTATATTAAAAGACTTTTTAAAAAAAATTTTTTTAAATTATTTTCCCAATAATTGAATTATTGGGAACAAATTTATAAAACATTAGTAAGTAATTGAATTTTGCAGAAGAATGTTGATATTTACAAAGATAATTGAAATTTTGAAAAGAATTTAAAAAAAAAAATTTTGAAAATAATTGAATTTTTGTGAAGAATTTTTTTACTTTTGAAGATAATTGAATTTTGCAAAAAAATTTATCAGAACTTTTGAAAATAATTAAATTTCCATGATGAATTTTATTATTCATGAAGATAATAAACATTTGAACGAGAAATTAAAAGAAATTTTTGAAAATAATTTAATTTCTGCGAAGAATTTTATTACTTTTGAAAATAATTGAATTTCTAGGATAAATTTTATTATTTAAAAAGATAATTGAAAATTTGACAAGAATTTTATTAAAATTCTTTGCAAATAATTGAATTTCAGAGAAGAATTTTATAACTTTTGAAAATAATTAAATTCATGTGAATAATTTTATTAATTTTGGCAAATAATTGAATTTCTGTGGAGAATTTTATTAAAAGTTATGAAAATAATTCAATTCCTGTGAAGAATTTTATTAATTTATAAAAAAAAATTACTGTTAAGAATTTTAAAGTTTTTTAAAAATAATTAATTTCTTGTAAAGAATTTTATTAATTTTAAAAAATTATTGAATTCCTGTGAATAATTTTATAAATTTTTGCAGATAATTGAATTTCTGCGTAAAATTTTTTTAAACGTTTTGAAAATAATTGAATTATTACAAATATTTTTATTAATATTTGAAAATAATTGAATTCATAAGAAGAATTTTATTTCAAATTTGTGAAAATAATTGAATTTTTGCGAAGAATTTTATTACTTTTGAAGATAATTGAATTTCTACGAAGAATTTTATTACTTTTGAAAATAATTGAATTTCAGAGAAGAATTTTATTATTTATAAAGATAATTGAAATTTTGACAAGAATTTTATTAAAATTTTTGTTAAATAATTGGATTTCGTAGAAGAATTTTATTATTTATAAAAATAATTGACATTTTAAAGAGAATTTTAAAAAAAAATGTTAAAAATACCTAATTAAAATTTTGCTATGAATTTTATTTAATTTTTTTTAAATTTTATTCCTGATTGTTTGATATTAATGTATCTGTTGTCGAGAAATGTGATTTTTTTTACAATTTTGACAATTTCGTGTTTCCTTTTTGTCGTTTTTTCTAAAATTTCATGCGACTTTTTTCCGACTTTTTTTGGAAATTTTATGCGACTTTTCTTGACTTTTGTTGTAAATTGATGCGACTGAAGCGACTTTTTTTGAGTCTTAAAGACGATCCGAGCCCTGCTTCATGAAGACCACGCTTTTTTTTTTGCATCGAATTTTCAAATTTCATTAGTTTCGAAAGAGAAGAAATTCTTTTTTCACCAAACTCTTTAGTGTTTGTTCAGTTTCTTACTTTCTTCTTATTTTCTGTAATTATTATTATAAATGGAAAAAAATATTATAAATGTAATTTATCGTTATATCAAAGATAATTAACAATTTTCACAGTTTGTCTAAGGATAATCAAATTAAGACAGAAAACGAATCAAAAGTGTTGCAAAGCAACGTTTTGATTCGTTTTTTGTCTCAATTTTGATATCCTGTGAAAAACTGTGTAGTTTATAAATTTTCTAATGAAACTAAAAATTATAAACTTGCATACAGTGATGATTTGAATTTCTCTCTCGTTTATTAAATTATTTATCGTCAGTGTTATACACAAAAGGGGAGTAACGCTCCTTTAAACTCACAAATAAATTGACAAGCTCTTGTAACGATTATAATCGAAGAAATGAAATATTACACAATGCACTCTATTGAAGAGTGTAGAGAGATTGTTAGTTATTGATGCCCGATAGAATTATATTAATCAACATGTATTCATCTTGAGATCGATGCATTATAATTTTTTTTCATATTGTGTTTCTTTAATGTTTCGATATTTTTTTTATAAACACAGTGAAAGTACAAGTAAAAATTTGTACTCAAAAATATCTGATGCTTGTTTTGTTCTTCTTTTGAATAATAAAATTTAGTTCTAAGTCTGAAAGTGAAAGCCTTTCGGTATTCACTATTCATTGGGATATTTAAATTTAATTGAATCTAATTAGTACATGTAGATTGAGATTAAAAGGTAATTAAATTTGCACTTATAGAGGTGGATAAATATTTGTTTTGCATACAATAAATTGCTGAAGTAGAAGTGTCATTTTTTATTCTTACTTTTATCTTCTTTTATTTTTTTTAAAGTGGATATCAATTTTTCAAAAAATAATAATAATTATATATTATAATAATTATTATATTATTATATTAATATAATTATTACATTATTATATTAATATAATAATATTATTACTATAATTATTATTTGATTGTAAATAATTATAATAGTTTTTAATATTATTTCTTAATACATGAATTACGAGAGAATTAGCTTTTAAAAAATAATTAGTTATTAAAAATTGAGTATTTTATCTATTTTGATAATTGATGTGGGAAAAAAATGTAACACTTACTTTTGGCATCAATAAGTCGTTCTCGAGGACTGAGATCTGACGATGAAAGTTGTTCCTTGACTTTGGCAACATCCTTTGGATGGAGAATGTCAAACCAGCTCTGTCCCAATAGATCTCCCTATTAATTATAATTTTCTATTCATTTTTCAACTCATTCTAATCGAATGTTATTTTTTTATTCCTTTTTCAATTTTCTTTTAATTTAACAGAAAAATGTAAATTGTTTTCATTAATTATTTTCACAATCAACAATAAATAATTGTCACACTTTAAAAAAAATACATTAAGATTATTATGAACATTATTAGCACTGATCATATAATAATAATATAATAATAATTTTTATTATTATTATTATTATTATTATTATTATTATTATTATTATGATTATTATTTTCAATTTTTGTTTTTATTGTTATTATTTAATTATTTTTATTGTATTTTTTTGTATAATTATTGTATGGTATTATTTTTGTTATATTTTATTACTGTGATAAAATAATGCAACAATAATTATCACTTATATTAACTTATTTCTACAATTATAATTATTAATCAAAAAATTGTTAAGTTATATAAATATATAATTTTTACCTGAGAATAATTAAGAATCTGCGAAACAGATTTAGAGACGTAAAGAATTCGCCCTCGATCGCAACCCACGACGAAAACGAAACCTTCGGCTGCCTAAATTGTAAACAAATTTAAATTTCAAAAAAAATGTTTTAAATAAATGATTTAAAGTTTGTTCTTTTTTTATTAATGAATGTTTAAAATACTTTTTCGATTCATAGGAGGGAAAAGGTATTTTTAATCTCGTAAAACAAAAAAATATATTATTAATAATTATTTATATAAAATTTCATTTTCATGAATGCGCTTGCAAGAAGGGGAAGAAAGAAAAATTAACTCAAGTGTTGTCTTTGGGTTTTTTTTTCATATTAACAAACGCGGTTAGAACTTTCAACTTTATAGCGAGAGAGCGTGAGAATAGTGCGGGCGAGTTAAAGAAAAGGAAAGTCATTATTATCAGTTTTGTAAATCCATTCTTGTAAGGATGTTCAGCAAAATTGTGAAAATATATTTTTGTGTCTTGCTATACTATTTTGATATTTTCTTTTTTGCTATTTTAATTCAAATCTTAATTATACTTTTAATTGCAATTGATTTTAAGTTACGATAATTTTAATTTCAATTAATTCTAATTTTAATTAATTTCGATTTCAACTAATTTTAATCCTAGTTAATTTTTGTTGCAATTAATTTTAGATTCAATTCATTTTAATATAAATTGGAGTGAAAATTTGTTTAAAAAATAAATTTTAAATTGCTTTTTTTATTTTTTTAACTCGAGAATTCCATAATACTAATTAATCCTCAGGTGTTTCGATAAAAGAAACAGTGCTCTTTACTTTATTTTATTTTAGATAATTTAAATATGCAGAAAAATATATTTATTTCAATTGGAATTTATATATATATTATTATAAATTTTTCTTTTTATATACGTTTCTATCCATTTCAACCTTTCACATTCCGGTAATTTTTTTATTCATATAATAAATAATTATATTATATCATTATTTATTTGATAAAATTTGAAAATAAAGTAAATGTGAAAATAATAAAAAATAAATTATGGGATGAAAATTGTATTAAATTCAAAAAGATGCATATGAAGAAATATATTTATCTATAAATAAAATAAAATTAGATAAATAAATATAATGAAATATATAAATAAAATGTGATAAAAAAATGAAAGTAAAATAAATATAAATTATTTTGTATACTCTCGAAATCTGAATCAGTTAAAAGTAACTAATTATTAGTAAAATCATGGCTGACTTTTTGCTTCAGCAATTATTAAAAAATAATTATAAGTTGATAAATTAGCAAATTTTGATTTGCTAATTGCATGAACTTGAAATTTTTAAATTAAGAAACTTGTCGTGTAAATTAAATTTTTCTTTTCTTTTTTGCTTTAAATTTAAACGTTGAAAATTTAATTGATTTTGGAATCACTCTCGCTATAGTTTTGAAAATTAAATTGTGGGTGATATTTGTAAGAAGAAATAATTGTATAAACCCGGAATTGTGTAAGTTGAAATCGGTGACCCGACTTGGTATGTCGGGCGTGGTCAATTCATGGCAATATATTCCCTTTTCATGATGGTGTGTATATGCAAGTGCATTTACATTGCATGGTTTAAAGACATGGATAACGCGAATGAAAGCTTGATTAAAGATAAACGCTCCAACCTTTTCTAATGGAACCGATACAGAAATACAGTCGCGTTTCATATTATATATACATACACACAAGGCTATCAACTTTGGTGAACCAATTCTTTCTTTCTTTTGACATATATATTTTCCAGGAATAGTGAAAAAAAATGGTTTATTGTTTAGAATTTAAATTTTTTCGCTGTTAACAATAGAGATAAATTAGTAGACTAAAAGTTAGGTTACCCAAGTGCGAAATGCCAAGACTGCAAAAACGGCCCATCATTGGTGCAGTAATGTCTGCCGAGAATTGGCAGTAGTTACTGGGCCATTATTGGTGTCCAAAACGTCCCATTACTGGGCCAATGATGGCGCTGCTGGTCACAATTTCAAATTTTTTAAGACTGGGCCAGCTCTCGGCCCAATAATAGCACATTCATGGCAAAGTTTATCAATGTTTAATGGCAAAAGACAATTGCCAGTGATGCGCCGACCATCGGCCCAGTAATGGCTCATTATTGGCACTTTAATGGCAAAAAATTTGTATCGTTCATGTCAAATTATAATTACCAGTATTGGGGAGTAGCTTGGCTCAATAACGGCACAATATTGGCAAAGTTGATCAATCTTTAATGGCAAAATTCAATTGCCAGTGATGTCACGAAGATCGGACCATTAATGGCACATTAGTGGCACTTTAATGGCAAACATTTTGTATCTTTGATGGCAAATTATAATTGCCAGTATTGGGGCGTAGCTTGGCCCAATAACGGCACATTCACGGCAAAGTTGATCAATCTTTAATGGCAAAAGACAATTGACAGTAATGTGACGAAGATCGGCCCATTAAAGGTACATTAATGGCATTTTAATTTGGTAAAATTTTTTATAAGAATTTAATTTTAAGAAACATTAAGTTATTCAATAAATTATTTATTTTGTATTTAAATAATTGAATAAGCTTGAAAAGGATTCAAATTAAAATATTTGAAACTTTGAATTTTCTATATTTTTAACTGTCAATTTTAAAGAATTAATTTTTTTGAAAAAGTTTAATTAAGTATTAATTTAAAAAAGAAGTTATTAATGTTTTCAAATAATTTTACAATTAAAGAAATTCGTAAATAAATGTAACAGAAACCTTTTTTTGAGTAAAATTTTTCCTTTATTATCTAAAAATTAAGAAATTTTCAATTTCACTTTCAATTAATATTTGCAATTGACAAATAGAATTTATAAACATTTTTTTCCTTTATTTTTTAAAAATCTTTGAATTTTTCTTAAAGCAATTGTAATTAAGAAATAAAAATGATGCAAATTATTTCCTTAAGAAAATTTATTGAATAAATGAATGTTTTTTAAAATTTAATTCTCATAATTCAATTTTAAGAAACATTTAGTTATTCAATAAATTATTTATTTTTGCATTTAAATAATTAAATTCTTGTAGAATTTTCTAGTAAAAATTGATTTCAAAATGGATTCTAGTCAAATTTTTAGATAATAATTAAATATTAAAAATATGCCATGAATTTTGATATTAAAATTTTTTGAAATTCAATTGCCAATGATGTGACGAAGATTGGCCCATTAAAGGCACATTAATGGCACTTTAATGGCAAAAAATTTGTATCGTTCATGGCAAATTATAATTACCAGTATTGGGGAGTAGCTTGGCTCAATAACGGCACAATATTGGCAAAGTTGATCAATCTTTAATGGCAAAATTTAATTGCCAGTGATGTCACAAAGATCGGACATTATAGCACATTATTGGCACTTTAATGGCAAAAAATTTGTATCTTTCATGGCAAATTATAATTGCCAGTATTGGGGTGTAGCTTGGCCCAGGAATAGCACATTAATGTCTATCATTTTGTATCTATGATGGCAAATTATAATTGCCAAAATTGGGACGTAGCTCGGCCCAATAATGGCACAGTATCGGCCAGTGTAGTGTAGCTTATAAGAACCCTTTTGCTTCCTCGACTTCAAGTCAGAGTAGCAGAGTGGTCAGAGTGTTAGGCTGTGGTGCGTCAGGTTCAGGTATCGATCCCCGCAAGAGGTAAGAATTTTTCAAATATTTGTAAGTTTGCGTTTAATTTAGGGAAATAAGCCGTATAAATGTTATAAATTAATTAGTTAATTAAATAAAAAAAAATTTATTTTTATTTTTTTCTAATTTTGTCTACACTGGGGGAGTAATGGCAGCCAATACTGGGCCATTAATGCCTGCTGAGATCTAGCTGCCAATAATGGGCCATTAATGTCTGCCGAGATCTGGCTGCCAATATTGGGCCATTAATGTCTGCCGAGATCTGGCTGCCGACGTCCAACCGCGGTTAACACCACAAGAGTCGGCGCAAAGTCGGGCCAATATTGTCTGCCAAGTCTCGATGCCAGCTTTGCCAATACTGGGCCAGTGTTGGGCCGCGTTGGTTTTCGCACTTGGGATATTTTAATAAGTGTTTACTATTTAATTTAATTTTTAATTATTTAGTTTTTATTAATTAATTTTTCCTATTTTGAATTTCGCGCCAATGCGGTTCATTAAATTGCCGCCTAGACGGCGTGAAAGTTCTCTCACAAACGATGTGAATCGAATAGAGAACATGAATCATGTTAGGTTCCTGAGATCTTTATTTTTAATTATTAAAATAATTCGAAAAGAAAAATATATTAAATATTTTTCTGAATTTGAGAATTGTTAATTTCTCTATTTTGAAAAATTACTCTCAATATTATTTTGTCGATAAATAAATATTGAATAAATAATAAATATGGTGAATTATTTCTATAATGGGTAATTTATGAAATAATTTAAAAGTCGCGGTTTCAATATAATGTAATAATGACTTTTGTATATTATACGGTTCTTTGTTGGGAAAGGCATGGACCATATTTTAAATGCGCAATTAAGAAATTTCGTGAACTTTGCAACTCGGCATTAATTGTTATTATCGTTCAACATTGTATAAAGGTTCATTCATACGTTTCAATACTTATAGCTTATTTGCAATCGTGACTATCACTTTTTCTAGACTATAATTCTCCGCAACAGTCATTTACATCCATATGCGAGAAAAAAAACCAGATATTTATCTGTTTATCAAATATATCATCAACTTATCTACAAGGCACCTCCCCAATAATTACCATCGTAGTTTAGCGTATTTAAAAAATTATTCCTACTTTTATTGCCATAGGTGTATACAATTAGGTGTAAAAATTTCTCTTTCTCGAAAGGAAAATTTTTTTGAATATTAAATTTATTTTTCAAAATTTGAGTGTCGAGCTTAAGTTACAAATTTATTTAGTTTAATTTAAGTTAATCAAAGTCTGAAAATTGATTGTTGAGTGAAAGTAACAAAAAGTATTTGAATTAAGTAAAACGTTGCGGATATTATTTAGTTAGCGTCGACGCTAAGTATCGAAAACTATGTTTTAAGGGTTTTTGGAGATGAAACTGTCACTAATTTTAATTCCTTTATTCACTTTCGGAGTGAAAAATAAGTTTTAAGGCACTTTTTCATCTGAAACCTTAAAAAATTGTTTTATTATTATCAGTTTTGTGGGGGAAAAAACATTTTTCAATGCTGAGCGTCAACGATAGCTTCAGGAACCAGATTCAAAAATAATTCTTCTGCTTTCAAATTGATTTAGAGTTTTAATATTGATTTAGATTCTTAAAATTGATTTGAAGTCTTCAAAGTTAAATTACAGTCTTGAAATTGATTTAGAGTCTTAACACTGATTTCGAATCTTAAAATTGATTTACAGTCTTAAAACTGATTTAGAGTCTTTAAATTGATTTAGAGTCTTTAAATTGATTTAGAGTCTTAAAATTGATTTAAAGTCTTAAAGTTAAAATTGATTTAGAGTCTTAACACTGATTTAGAGTTTTAAAATTGAATCAGAGTCTTAAAACTGATTTAGAGTCTTAAAATTGATTTAGAGTCTTAAAATTGATTTAGAGTCTTAAAACTGATTTAGAGTCTTAAAATATTGATTTAGGGCCTATTATAAAATTAAAAAAGCCATTCTTTTTGCTTTCGAGCAAAGGTCGCAATTTTTTTGAAAGGATATTACTTATATTCTTGAAAGAGAGGACAGAAAAAAGGGTGCATTCAAGAAGAGTAAAATATAAGAATTCTCAAAGCGTCAGTTTTCGTATCGAGAGAAAAAAGGAAAGAATGTGAAATTTTTACTGGAGATCGAATCTAGCCTCTCTGCGTAGTTACGAATTCACGGCTTCATGCACGTCATTGTTGAGACTATGTCGAGCGCGTTATGCAATCGTTTCAAAGGCACCAGGAAATCTTACTCGCATTCGTACATCTATACCAAGAAAGGAGAGAATTTTCTTTTTTTTTTCCTTTTTTTTAAACACACCATTTACATATTCATGTGTGTATATCTCGATTTCTTATTTGTCACCTTTTAGTTGTTTGACATGCAATCGATTTTTGGGAGACAATTTGCGATGTTTAGAAAAAGAAAAAGTATTTTTTTGGCTTTGTTGCAAAAAACGATAATTATTTCTTATTAAAAATCATTTTTTTTCACTTAAAATAAAAACGAATTACAATTCCATATATAAGTTTATAAATAATTTTAAGTATTTTAATTAAATTAAATTTTTAATTAAATTTTTCTTTATTAATTTAAGTTTTAAGATACTTTTTATTTTCATAATGTAAAACAGAAGTAATTTTTAGTAAAATTAATGAGCTTTTTTTTTATTTTGCAGATCACTCGACGAATATTTAGTGAAATGTTGAAACAACAAAAGAGCCAAACAGGAATATCAAAATGCTCTCTCATTCAATAAACAAAGGAAAAAAGTTTGCTACTACTTAGAGTCTAAACTATCAGGTATGTGATTAATGCCAAAAAGTCTCAATAAGTGTGAGTAAATTTTGAATTAAATTTTACATATTTTTTCTATTTTTTAAAAAACTGATCTTCTGATCTAAAACATTGTAGTAGTAAAAAAGAAATAATAGATTAATTAAAAAACTGATTTTCTGTTTTAAAATATTAGTTAAGCAAAAACTAAATATTAGACTAATTAAATAAATAAATTAATTAAATAATTAATTAATTAAATCGGAATAGATTTTTATCGAAATTCGGATTCTAACTTTCTAACTAAATTGCACTTTTCTGAAATGTTTAAATAGAGGAAATTGCGGAAAATTATTTGAAAAAAGGGATTTTAAATTCAAGTTCAGTTTGATAAAAATTCAGATAAATTAATAAATCTTGAAGTATAAAATTGACTTTGTTTTATTATTACAAAAGTTAGCAATTTAGTTGGTAAGACACCTAACGATTAATCTGTGTCTATAGCTACTGATATTGCAAACAAAATTAATCGGCACGTTTCGATATGTATAGGAAACAAGAGAGATATAGATAGATAAAGAGAGAGTGAAAGTAAAAGGAAAATAAATCACGTGAAATTGTTTATAAAAACTACTTTGTTTATTTAAACAGAAATAATTGAAATTAATTATGTTTCGAATAAATTAGCTTTTAATAATTCTCTTTGTCAAAAACGGAACAAAGGAACTGAATGATTATTTGTTTATTAATTAATAATTCCTAATCATTATTATATAATAGTATTAATTATTATTATTATATAATAGTAATTATTAATTATTATTATTAAACAGTAATAATTTATTAGTTATTATTAATAATTAAAAGTAATAAGTTAATTATTATTTTTCATTAATTAATTATATTTAAATTAGACTATTTATTGCGATTTTCGTAATTAAAACATTCGTCAATTTAATAGTAATTAAAGTATTTGAAAATTGACCCAATAATAATTAGAGTAATTGAAAATTGACCCAGTTTAATAAGAATGAGGATAATTTAAAAATACCCTAATTTAATAGTAATTAAGTCAATTAAAATTTTCCTCACGTCAATAATAATAATAATTAGAGTAATTGAAAATTGAACTAATAATAATTAAAGTAATTGAAAATTGCTACAATAATACTTTGAGTAATTGAAAATTGCCCCAATAATAATTAAAGTAATTGAAAGTTTCCCTAATTGAGTCATAATTAGAGTAAATAAAAATTGCTTTGATAATAATTAGAGTAATTGAAAATTGACACAATAATAAAATTAAAATAATTGAAAATTTTCCTAATTGAGTAATAATTAAAGGAATTAAAGTAAAATTGAAATTTTCTCCAATTGAATAATAATTAGGGTAATTGAAATTTTTCGGAATTGAATAATAAGAAGCTGAATGGAAAAGTTTTATAATTGATTAATAATTAGGAAAATGGAGATAAATTAGAGTAAAATTTAAAGTAGTAAATTGAGATTAACATTGAAAAGTGAGGATTTTTCTTCGTCAGTTTAGGCACTTACTTGCAAAATAAGGGTTTTCAGTTCTTGATCGCTTAGAAATGCTGGTTTGTAGTGACCCTCTGTGTAAGAAGTCACTGCACCGAGAATTGTTTTTAGATGTTGAACAGTCATTCTCAAAACTGTTAATTTATCCAATTTTCTGGACATTGCATGGCACATTGGAATCATTGCTGAAAGTTCGGTAATATAGGTGTTCATCTTATCCCTTCTCCTTTTTTCAATCTCACTGTGATTTTGTCTGCAATACAGAAAACGGAATTTTTATTTAAAATTCTATTTGAAGGTATATTAAATTAAATTAATTTTCAATTAATTAAATAAATAATTATAAAATTATTTATTTAATTTTAAATTATAAATTTTATTTAAAACTTTATGAAAAATTTATTAATAATTTATTAAATTAATTTATTAATAGATTATTATTTATTATTATTTTTTGTTTTGTTTATTTTATTAAAGCTTTATTATTATTCTACAAATTAATAAATATTCATACTTTGTTCAAATTGAACGATTTAATTAATTTAATAAAAAATTTCTTGAAATACTGTTGTTCTTTCAATTGTATTTTTAGTAAAATGATAAAATACTACTAGTGGCAATTTTTTTTTTCTTTTTAGAGAAAAATTCTGTAATTTGGAGTTTAATTATTTTGTTGTTTAAAATATGAATTTGCGATTTGCGAATTACTATATATAAATAACTATAAAGCCGATTGTCAACATAAAGGCGAATGACGTCAATTTTACGTAATCTAAACCTTCCTATAATCCATTTGAAATTAGATTTTACTGTTACTGCAGCCGTTATTATTAACAATCTACAGTCTTGTAGAAAATGAGTATCAATATTATGCAATTTGCTTTTATTATTATAAAAAAAAGAATACACAAATTGCCATTATAATAAAAATAATCATTGCCTCTAATAATTAGTTTGTAAGATGGCAACACTAACCTTGAAACATTCTTTCTCTCTTATTTTTTTATATTTTAATTGTTTATTTTCGTCAGTTTTCATTTATTTACTTCTTTATATTTTGTTTATTTTTTTATTTTATTCTCTGTATTTTGTTTAATTTATTTTTTACTCTATTCTTTATATATTGTTTATTTCATTTTTATCTTTTTATTTTACTATTGTTTATTTATTTATTTATTCGTATAAACGGGCTTAAAATTAAAAATTAAAATGGGTTTATATTTTTAAATTGTTATTAAATATTTTCAAGTCATTAAATTATTAAATTATACTCATTAAATACTATTGTTATTAATTATTCATAATTTTTGAACATTCAAATGAAAAAAATATTTTTTATTTAAAATATTTTCATAAATTACTTTTTTGCAATAAAAATTCGAAAATTCAAATTTTACATTTAGAAACTTCATAATAAATTTTATTTTGGTAGTGATTCAAAAGTGCTGTAATGAAAATTTAATTTGAAGAAGAAATAAATAAATTTCAGTTAATTTAAACTTTCAAAACTTTAGGTTCATTGGTTTATATTATTCTTCATTAAATATTAGAATCAATATTACTACTTATTTCATTTTTATTTTATCATTTTTTATTTTAAAATTTTTTAAATTAAATTATTATTATTATTATTATTATTATTATCATTATTATTATTATTACATTTTTTTATTATTATACATATATACTCATTTATTAAGAATTTGCAATCTACTTTCACAAAGTATAACACATTTCCGCTTATAATGAATATCTTTGCACATTTTTATTTGTTCAGTAATGTTAATAATAGTTTTATTTAATTTGCTAAACGGAAAACTTTATTTAATAAAAATTTTTAATGGATAAAAGTAGTGAACATTAAAATAGTAATTTAGGGAAATAATTACAAAGTAAACAGTGTGTAAATTACAACAAAATAAAAATAATGATAGTGAATATAATAACCGTAATGACAATGATACAAATAATAATAATAATAATAAATATAAACAATATTTATAAGAAATAAATTAAATAAATAAAAAATAAACAAAATAAAAACAATATTGATAATAAAATAATAATAATAGTATCTAATAATAAATATCGAATATAAAGAATAAATAAAAAAATAGACCATAAACGGTGGAAAGTAACAAAAATTGCAAAAATTTGGATAAATAGAATTTTTCATTGTTGTAATTATTGTTTAATCTTAAAATTATGTGAGTACAGTGGATTTGTTGGCGAAGCCACGTTGCGAAGGTAGGTCAAGGTAACTATTACCTTGTCTCCTGATCCACTATGATGCAATATGTAACCGAGGAAATACATAGGCAAAACATCCGCATTGTTTTATCATTCTCATTTCTTTCAAAGTATAATTAATATTTTCCCACGTGGAATTTCTTTTTCTTTTCCTTAAAAATTCACTCTTGATCAAAAATAATTTTTCCAAAATATTTAATTGAATAGAAAACAATTATTTAAATTGTCTCACTAAATATTATAACAATAGTTTCTCCATTTCTCAGTATTTTAGTATTTTATTGCAGTACTTTAATATTTTAGTAATTTTATAATTTTTATTTGAAAAAAAATCTCACTTTTTGTTGTCATCGCCAGAACGAAATGATTTGGCATCATCCCCAGTCTCAAGAAGCGAATCGTTTCTTTCTCTAAAATAAAATTAGAAAATTAATATAAATTGAATTAAAAAAATTGAGGGGGGGGGTGAAATTTTTTATTCGAATGTAAATAAAAATTAATAATTAAGGAAATAAATTCTGGTACACTGAAAATAAAATTTATTTGATTCAAATAAACAATTACTTGTCTATTATTTATTATTTATTTTTGCTATAAATATTTATTCGAATCGAATAATTTTTAAGTCATAATTAAATGGTATTTGCTTCGAGTGCTAAAATAAAATTCGAATAAAATTTATTTCAAGTACAATTTGATTTAAATAAAAATTATTTGATTCAAGTAAATATTTGTAAATAAAAAAAGTAAATTTTTTTACTATAGACAAGTAGTCAGTTATTAAAATAAAATAATTATTTTCAGTGTGTTAAAATTAAAATTTTAATTTTATTAATTTTTGAAATGTTTAATTTTTTTAATGTTTAATATGATAATGTAATTATTATTTAGTGCATTAATTTAAACGAAAGAATTAAACTACTTAGTTAATTAGTAAAATAAATATTTTTTTCAAGTGTCAAAATTATTGTCACTTTATAAATTTTTGTTCTTATATTTCTTGAGGGGAGAAAATTAATACAACTGGGTGTCTTCTTTTTTTTAGTATAGAAACAGTTTTTTTTTCTGGTATTGTAATGCAGTGGTTCTTTTTTTTTTATATCTTTGTTTATTTCTGGTAGTGAATGTCAACTTGGTTTACTTGTCAAGGAAATATGCCCTTACGTAGTTAGACTCTTCAAAGAGCTGGTTAACCCTTTGAGACTGAATTTCGACAAGTTCGAGTTCCTAGTGCTTCCTCGCTCCTTTGAAAAGTGTTTTCGAAGGGTTTCGTTATACACTTTATGAGCAAGAAATAGTAATCGATTGCAATTCTCAAGATTTCTTTAGAAAACCTGTTGTATTCTAAATCGTAACCTCTTCCAGTTTTGTTGTATTTTAAACAAAAAGAAACGAAATTCATTTTAATTATTAAAATATATTCACATATTTTTAACAGAAATTTCCTTCAAATATTTTATAAATATTTTTTCGTTTTTTCGTTACTTATATTTCTTATTTATTTATTTATTTATTCTTTTGTTTATTTACTCTTTTGTTTATTTATCCTTTTATTTATTTATCTCTTATTTATTTATTCTTTTATTTATTTGTCCCGCTTATATTTATTTATTCTTTTATTGATTTATCTCTTTTATTTATTTATCTTTTATATTTATTTATCCATTTATTTATTTATCCCTTTATTTATTTATCCCTTTATCTATTTCTCCTTTTATTTATTGATCTCTTAATTTATTTATCCCTTAATTTATTTATCCCGTAATTTATTTATCCCTTTTTTTATTTATCCCTTTATTGATTTATCTCTTTATTTATTTATCCCTTTATTAATTTATCCTTTTATTTATTTGCTCCTTTATTTATTTTTCCCTTTATTTATTTATCCTTTTATGTATTTATCCCTTTATTTATTTATTTATTTCTTTAATGTATTTATTTTTTTATTTTTTGTTCTGCCTTTATTTATTCATCCTTTTATTTAAATAAATAAAATAATAAATAAATAAAAGGAAAAAAAATTAATTTGATTTTAAAATTTATTATTTTATTTTTTACCGAGGAATGAATATAGTGTATAGTAATTCTCGAATATGTAATGTGACTTCAAGGGGAAAAATTCTTTTTTGCAAATATTTAAAATTTTTTGAAATATTTTTAGTAAACTATTTTTCAGGTCTATGATTATTTTTATGAAATGATACATAGGTAATGATCGAAGTAGAAGTGCAGTGTGTTATTTAACTTTGCCGCGGAACGAGAATTTATATGATAATTACATGAGTAAATGTTTTTCTTTTTCCTTTTTCATGTAAACTTGTTGCGAGAGAAATTTAGAATTTAGAAAAAAAATCGAACTGTCATATTATTAACCAAGTGACCTGCTTAATAATCATAAGTTTTGTATACATATATATATATGTATGTAGACAGGAAACTTCTTTAAAGATTTTTCATCCTGATAACATAAAATGTATAGAAGGCTAATAAATATTATAACATAGGCAAATTGTAATCTTGTGCATAATTTAATTTTACATGTTACTAATATTTTTTACATATTTTTTAAATATTTTTTTATATATATTTTTTTATGTTAAAGCTATTATGTATATTTTTTATATCAAAGCTATTATATATTTATATTTTTTCATATTAAAGCTACTATGTAGTGAAAATTTTTATTTTGATGAAAAATTTTCATTTTTCTTTCTGATAAAAAATAATTTTACTTGTTTCGAGATTTTTTTTTGTTAGTTGTTCAATGTATGGGAATTTTTCATTTTGTGAAAAAATTTTTATTTAATATTTTTTGCTTAATAACTTTCTAAATCTGAACTAGTCAATTTTAACAAATCTAAAGTCCACAACGTTTTTAAAAACGAAAAATCAAAAAAGAATTATTTTTCAAGTTAAATTCATCTCTAATTTTCATGTGCGTTAATTTTTAAGAAATTAATTGTTATTTACGAGACAATTGTTAAAAAATAACATGATTTAGAATTAAAAATAAAAAAAACCATCGCATTTATTTTTGTTTTCGTTTTTAAAAACGTTGTGGCCTTCAGCCTCATCAATTTTAATTAATTCCATAGTGACAATTTGTTTATTTAATAAACAATTATTTATTTGTTTAATGAGTATAATTAAATTGATTATAAATTGAATTAATATTTTTAATAGTTTAATAAAATTTAATTTTTCAATTAAATTTAAATTCTCTTAATTTAAATTAATCAACGAATTTTCACTAATTCAGTAGATTTAGAGAGATAATTATTGTCTGAGAATTAGTTTAAACGGTTACTAATACTAATTGACTTTTAGTAATATTTTTATTCGAATGAATTTGTATTCGTCTCATCTAATGAAGTTTATTACTCTTGAGAATTATAGTTTCATCTCTAATCTCAAACAACTTTGGGAGATGAAAGGATAATAATTCGACCGTTGTTAATTTGCCCCAGAAAGTGAGATATTATTATTATTATTATTATTATTATTATTATTATTATTATTATTATTATTATTATTATTATTATTATTATTATTATTATTATTATTATTATTATTATTATTATTATTATTATTATTATATGAAAATTGCAAAGATTTCTCAAAAGCTTTTCTTAAATTTTTCAATAAAAAAATTAGGTAAAATTCGGTTTTTTTCAAACAAAAAATAAATTTTTTTTATTATTATGAAATATTATAATTGTTAATTATAAAAATATAATTATTAAATTATAATAACATGACTACACTGAGAAAAATTTATTTTATTCAAGTAATCGATTACTTGTCTATTAGCAAATAAATATTTAATTAAATCAAATAACGAAAAATAATTCGTGCGCCAAAGCGCGCGGCTAACTTCTACCTTTTTTTTAAATAAAATTAGCAATTTTAAAAATAATAGAATTAAAAAATTTTCTAATTTTCGAACCGAATGAACCAATTTTTAGTTGTAATAAAATTAATAATTTAAGCAGATTTGACAGAATTAAATGTTTGGTTCATTTACCCAAACATTTTATTAAATGAACCAAATGTTTGGCTTTCTTCCACAAAAATTTTGTCATATGAAAATTATTAAAACATTATTATTATTATTATTATTATTATTAATTATTAACGAAATATTTTTCATTAAGTACCCAACTTACTGAAAACAAATTTTCCTTTTCTTCGTGTCAGTACTGAACTCATCAGTTGGCTCATCAGTGGTGATGTGAATATTTTGATTTCCCGAATTTCGTCGATGTTGTTGTGGTTGTTGCTGTTGTTGTTGTTGTTGTTGTTGATGGTGACGTTGATAATAATGATCGGTTGTAATAGTTTGATCGTTGATCATAGAAGGGGGGGTTGCCTCCATATGCTGGGGGGGTTTATTCCCCGCAATAGTTTGAGGTAGTGATGTTGTTGTAATAGGGGAAGTGTTGACGGTGGTGTCAATGGTATTTCCAGCAGCGTTCGCTTTGAGATTTCCGGCGGTGTCGTTCGCGTGACTTATGTTGACTTGGCCGGGGGTTGGGATTGCCCCAAGACCCTCGCCACCCCCTGTCGTTCCCACTAATTCCCCCACTCCTGATCCTATGTCGCCAAAATATATTGTTGAGCAGGAACTTCTGCAAATTAAATAGAAATTTTTTTTTTAAAAAAGTCCTCAGATTTTGTGTATATTTTGTTTCATGAAATTATTATAATTACTCACGAAAAAAAATTTTACTTGGAACAGCTATAAAATTTAATTAAATTAGCGAAAAATTGTAATTGTTTTAATTAAAAGTTTCGCTATGCTAGAGAAAGTTATCGCTGTTCCAGGTAAATATTATTTACCGTGCCCTATATTAATAGAATAAATTATTACTAATTATTTTATTATAAATAACTAATTACTAATAAAATAATTATTGTTCTTTATTATTTAACTATTTTATTAAATTATTTATTATAATTAATAAATTAACAACCTACAACACTAATTAAGTAATTAATTAAACAATAAACTTTATAATTAGTATATTATTACTATTATAGTACATTTGTATTAATGAATTATTAAGTAAATTGAATATTTCATTTATTGCTTAACTATTTAATAAAATTACTAAATAAATTGAATAATTATTAAAATAAACTAATTACTCAATTTATTGTTTAACTGACTAATTACTAAATAAATGAAACAATAATTAAACGAACTGATTACTTAATTTTTTGTTTAACCGATCAATTAATAAATAAATTGAATAATTATTAAATAAACTAATTACTTAATTTATTGTTTAATTGATTAATTACTAAGTAAATTAAACGAACTGATTATTTAATTTTGTCTTTAACCGATCAATTTATAAATACATTGCACAATTATTAAATAAACTAATTACTTAATTTATTGTTTAATTGATTAATTACTAAATAAATTAAATAATTAAACGAACTAAATATTTAATTTTTTCTTTAGCAGATCAATTTATAAATAAATTGAATAATTATTAAATAAACTATTTTCTTAATTTATTGTTTAACTAATTGCAGAATTAATTATTTTATTTGTTAAATATTTAAAAATATTAATAATTAAAATAATTATTATAATTTAACTATTAATTAATTTTATTGATTAACTGATTAATTACTAATAAAATTAAATGATTAATAAACGTACTAATTACTTAATTTATTGTTAAACTGATTAATTGCTGAATAAATTAAATAATTATTATTTATTTCACTATTTATTAATTATTATTAAACTTAATAATTAGTTTATTTTTTATTTAATTATTCTAACTTTATATCTAACTTCTTTAAGTAATTACTAAATTCTATAAATGTTAAGTAAACTAATTTTTATTGTTCAACTAAATAATTAATGAATAAGTAAAAAAATCATTCTATTTAAATAATTTTTTGTTTAAATGATTAATTTCTAAATAAATTATATAATTGATGCATTAATTATTTAATTTATTGTTTAAATAATTAAATACAAAATTAAATAATTATCAATGAAGCTAATTATTATTGTTAAATTTAATTCCTAATTAATTATACAATAATTATAAATTAACTAATTATTTATTTTATTTATTGTTTATTTATTTGTTTTTTTATTTGTTTTTTTATTTATTTATTAATAGTGTGAAACAGAATATAGAATAAATAATTTTTTAGTTGTTTTTATTTCTGATTGGAATTAGTAAAATTGAGATTTAATAATCGGATCGCGCTCCAGAGTCTATCAAAAATAGATACATTATCCAATACTTAGTATAATCTATCCAATTATTTTTCTCCGTGTAGTAAATACTTTCCTGTTTTAGAAAAAAGAATGAAAAGAGTAAATGAGATCATATATCTAATTAAAATTTACGTCTTCTATTGACATTGCAATGAAGTAGGTTATTAAGTTCTAAGTGATGAAAATCACTTCTCATTTATCTGAGATAAGTAACCAGTGACTTTCGTTTTCATTATTCACATTTTACTCTCTCTTCTTGAGATGAACTGTTAATATATAAAGTCCTGCTCATTATTTCTGATTGATAGATTCCATGACTATTGCGTAACAAATTTACTATTTATACATACATACATAAATATTTTGCGTTATTTTTCATTGTCAATATAGAGCAAAAGTTCATTAGTTGAAAAATTTTTATTCAATTTTTTATTTATTTTTTTAAGTATTTTATTTATTTTTTCTACATTTTATTTATTATTCCTATGACGAGAGTAATTAGTATTAATTTGTTAGGGTCATTATGTAATTATTGTGAAATATTAGATAATATTTAAATAAAAATTTCGTTGCTGTAAATTGTTCAAAAAAAATAATTAATAGAAAATAATTTATTTGCATCTAAATAGTTTTTAGGTTCAAGTTAAATCGAATTAAAATTAAACGACGCTTATTTCTGGGACCTGAAGTTAAATTTAATTTTAATTGAATGAAATTTGCATTTTTATTTAATTTAATTTGAATTAAATTTTGAAATTGCTCAGCGTCAACGCTGATTTCTGGAATCTAAATTTTAATTTAATTTTAAATTGAATTTTATTTGTAAATTATTTTCGACGCTCAGCGTCGACACTAATTTCACGGGCCTAAATTTTAATTTAATGCAAATTGAATTAAATTTTTATTTTAATTCCTTGTAAATTGAATTAAATTTTAATTCCTTGTTAATTGAAAGAAATTTTCATTTCAATTCCTTTAAAATAGAATTAAAATTTTTTTAAATAAAAATAAACTTCTCATTCGCAAATTCATGATTTGTTGTTGAGTTGAAAATAACTCTTCTTCGTTATCAATCAATCATTGAAATTAATGCTCCCTGCGTATTGCGTTTTTCATTATTATTATTATTATTATTATTATTATTTTTTTTTGTTAATTTTTTACTTTTGCATATGTATATTATATGAACGTGTAATTAGTTTGATCTGGTTGTCGTCAAACTTTATCAGCGCGAAAACTAAGCTTATAAGTTTGCAATGTTTCTGCAAAAAAAAAAAAAAAAAAATGTCAGTCACTACAAGGTCAACCACTTATCTGCATCGGTGAAGTGCAAGTGTATATAGTTCCGCGTTTATGATGTAACTTTAACGATTAACGTAATTCTACTTATCCATAGGTTACATTCGTACAAATGACATCACAATAATGTTTTCTGGTCATTCAAAAAAATGTTGTTTATCCTCAAATCCTTATATTTAGTGCGTCAATGTACTCTCTAAATCTAAATCAGTTGAAGTTTTAATTTATTTAAATCGGTTGAGTTTTTAAATATAGTTAAAAATTTTTAGCGTTGAAATTAGCGTTGGGATTAATTTAAATTTGAGGTTTTTAGTGGTGCAAATGTTACTGATCTCACCTTTTTTATTCGCTAAAGGATTTAAAACTTTTTCAGAGTACTTTTTTAACCTAAATACTAAAATTGTTTTATTCCTTTCGGAGGTTTAAATTTATAATAAATTGAATTCACTTTGGAAATTATTTTCGACGCTCAAAGTCGACGCTAACTTCCGGGACTGAAATTTTAATTGAATTAAAATTTTTAAATTCATTTTGACACTCAGCGTTGACGCTAAATTTGGGAGTTTAAATTTATATTAAATTGAATTCAATTGGAAGTTATTTTCGACGCTCAGCGTCAACACTAACATCTGGGGCTTAAATTTTAATTTAATCATAAGTTTAATTAAATTTTTTAAATTGTTTTCGATGCTCAGCGGCGACGCTAACTTCTGGGAGCTAAATTAAAATTAAATTTTAATTAAATTAAAATCAAATATTTATTTAATTTAAATTGAATTCAATTTCAAATTATTTTCGACGCTCAGCATCAAACTTTGGGGGTTTAAATTTAAATTTAATTCAATTCGAAAACTATTTTCGACGCTCAGCGTCGACGCTAGATTAGGAGCCCTTTAATTTTAATTGATTCAGATTTGAAAAATAAATAATGCAATAAATTTTACAATTACTAAAGAAATATTGTATTGAGAATAAATTGCATTTAAAAAACTAATTTTAATATTATAATATTATTATTTCATAATATTTATTATATTTTGTAATATTAAATATATTATGAAATAATAATAATAATAATAATAATAATAATAATAATAATAATAATAATAATAATAATAATAATAATAATAATAATAATATTCATTTATAAAAAAAATATATTGTAAATAATTCACAAGTCAATTATTTTCTCGAAGAATGCTCGAATCTTTTGGCGCGTAAAATGCGCTCGTTACGTTCTATTAGTATAAATAAATGTAGAGGGAACTTGTTACACGCCCCAATCGTGATACTTGGCCTTTTCTTATTTCAGTACCGCCTAAACGTCACTATTAAATCTCACAACTGACAATCACACTGAATTTCATACTGTTAACTCTACGAGATTTATTCACAAATCAATGATATACACACACACACACTGCCCATTAGGAAGAAGGATTTAAAAAATTGTTAGAAATACCTAAAAGGGAAAAATATTAATGAGAATTTCAATATACTACTGTTTGTATTTATTCTCCTTGGAAGAAAGTAGATCTGCGCTTATATAGTAATGTTAGATGAACAATTTAAATGAATTTTTTCCGTTAATTAGTCCTTAATTAGAAGGTGTTTAGTAATCGGGAATTGGAAACTTTTTTTTATCTCCAGGAACTGAAAGTTTTGTTGGAACTGCTAAAGGTCATAGTGTTTTTTTTCTAGGTATTTTTAATTATTTAATAATTATTTATTAGTAATTTTATTAATTACTTAATGTAATTAAAGAAAATAACTAATAACGACATCTTTCGTGTCGATTAAATATTAATATTTATTAATAATTAATTATTAATAATTAATGTATTATCATTAATTAATAATAACTCTAAATTTGAATTAGTAAAAATGTTTACTAATTTGAATTATTAACTAACTTTTTGCTTTGGAATTAGTAAATTTTACTAATAGTCATTTCTACTAATTAGTGAATTTTACTAATAAACAATTATTTCTACTTATTTATTAGTAAAATTTACTAAATCAAAAGCAAACAGTCAGTCACTAATTCAGTGAACATTTTTCTAGTTCAAATTTAGAGAGTAATAATTAATAAATTATCGTTAATAATTGTCATTACTACTTAATTAATAATAATTATCTGGTTATTATTAATAATTATTATAAGTAACTATGAATAATTATTATAATTAATTATTCATGTAGTATTAAAAAATAAAATTAAATGCGCTCGTTCTGTGTTACAAATATATCCAAAAAGTAAAAAAGAAACAATTGCTAGACGTACAACTATTATTTTCATAATTATTGTCTTGAACATTTTTGTAAACAAATTTTTGTAGAATTCTACAATTTTGTTTTTGTATTTTTTTCACACTTGAAATATTTTTTACTAATAGCGAATAGTTTTTTTAACTTCTAAGGGGATATTTCTAAGTAATTAGTAGGGGAATGTAGTCAAGGTTGGCCTACTGTCTAGGTAGGCCACTCGCGTTTTTTTGTCAAGTTCACTAGCGCCACCTACGCGCATTTTTGTCGAAGCTTGTCTTAGTGAAACCTAACTTTTTGTTCAATTACATTTTCGGAAAATCGAAAATTGTGTTTTCTGTGACGTCGGTACAAAAAAAGCTCAAAAAAAGTTTTGTGCATAATGTGAAAAACCATTAATAAAAGATAAAAAACAAATTGAATCGTGAAAGCAAGTATGCAGAAAATTTGTGGGACTCATGGTTGAAAGGAAAACAAAGTAAAAAATCGAATCCCGAAACGTATTTCTTTATGGTTACAACAATTCGGTAATGTTACTTACTGTCAAGGTCGGCCACTATGTGTTTAAAATGCGCAAAGATGAGGACGAGCTACTTCATTTGCAAAAACTGCAATTTTGTATAACTCATAATATAATTGATCATCTTATTAATATTTTTATTTAATTTTATTAATATTTTAGTGCAAAACTTTTTTTTATTTATATTTATTTTTTTATATTGTTTATTGTTATTATTTTGTTATTTCATTAAGTTACAAACTGTAAACAATAAAGAATCAATTTTCCGTAACTCCAAACATGTTATTTTATTTTTTAAAGATTAATGCCCTTTGAATTTTAAACATGGCCGACCTTGACTGTAATGGCCAACCTGGACTACAAATTTTTTTTTTTTTAAATCTTTATAACTTTTTCATTTTTAAACCTGTCAATTTACTTTGTACAGAAAAAATGTTCCTATTAAACAGGACTTTCCAACCATATACTTCAATTGTCCAAATTCATTTTTAAAAAAAAGTTATAAACAAAAGTCAAAAAGGTGGCCGACCTAGACTATGTTCCCCTAACAATTGTGCGTTAATTAAAAAAAGAATTGAAAATTCATTGAAAAAAGAAAATTTGTTTAAAATCGTAGTTTCTAACAAATTGATATTGACGACAAGGATAATTTTCTACGACAATAATCACAGTGTTAATTTTTATAGACAAGGAAAATTTGTAGCAAAAAGGAAAGAAATAATTTAGTTTACTATATTAGCTTGTTTGATAATTAAATTAAACTATTAAATTTAACTAATTGAGTTTTGTATTTAAAAAAATATAAAAATACTATTCGAACGCAGGAAAAATTGAACCAAATACAAAAAAAAATGTTCAAAAATTGATGAATTTCCCGTAAATTCCGTTTAAATTCTGTTTAAAATTGTTTTTTTTATTCTTTTTTTTTCAAAAAATTGAATGTTTTGGCAAATATTTTTATTTCCCCAATTTCTGTGATTGCATATTATTCTTCGAGTATTTTTCTTAAAAAATTTTCTTTGTAAAAATTATTAATTCCGCTGAGTTTTTAATCATGAAAATTGTTACATCATTTTGCCTTCTATTGCGTCATACATATAATTTTATTGTATACGGTCGATGAAACGATTAATGACTAATGAAAATGATGATGTCTTAAATACAAGTCAATCATCACGTGAATTCCTCAAAATAAAAACAATTTTTTCTATCTTCGCTTTTTTTAGGAAAGAAAAAAGAAATATCGAGTTTGAATTGTTTTTAATTGTTCCAAATAGAAAAATAGTTGATTAAAAACAATGCGAACTATACCAACGTAATTAGTAGGCATTTAAATAAATTTTTTAATTACTGTAGAAAAATTATTGTTTATAAAATAATTTTATTTCACTGTTATAACTTGAATGAATCAAATTGCAAGGAATTGATATAAAAAAAATGTCGATCAAATCATAATTCGATCCAAAATTTTTTTTTTTGGTATCAATTTGATATAGCTCCAAGAAAATTGTGTAATTAATTTATTAATAATTTACTCTAACAATAAATAATTCTATTAATTTAAAAATAGTAATTATAATTATAATTATAATATTATAATTCTATTAATTTAAAAATAGTAATTATAATTGTAATTATAATATTATAATTCTATTAATTTAAAAATAGTAATTATAATTATAATTATTATAATTATAATTTTTCATATATATGCTTGAAAAGTGAACTTACTCTTGGACATTTGAGAGATTATAATAATTCGGCTCCTGATAGTTTTGATGTTGATAGAGTTGTTCGGTTGTTGATGTGGGTGTTGAGATTTGATTATGATGATTATCGCGATGATGATCTTGCGAGTGATTATTCTCTTGATTAATTCGGGGTCTGAGTTCTTCTAATGATATGTATTCCTGCGGCTCGTGAGTTTGATGAAGTAATTGGGTATAACCCTGTGACATTTCTTGTGCGACCATTTCTGCAATCGGATATCGATATCGAAATAAATCACCCGATTGTAAATCACTTTCTTGTTGATCTTGATGATTATTTTGCTGATGATTTTGATGATTCTGATGATGACGATAAATCCGAGGACTTACGCTAGACAATCTTTCTTTAACGGCCTCGGAATTCCCGATAACATCCCCGCTGCTTGGCAATAATCCTTCTTCGTCTAAGAATTAAATTCTACTTTTTTTAAAATTGAAATTCAAAATATTTTTATTTTTAAAATTTGTTTTTGTTCTGCTATTTATTCTTTTACTCTTTTTTTTTTTTACTTTTTTTATTCTTTTTTGATAACTTTTGCTTCTTGTGACTTTTTTTTGTTATTTTCACTTTTTGTAATTTATACTTTTTGTAATTGTTGCTTTTTGTAATTTTTGCTATTTGTTATTTTTGATTTTTGTAATTTTTGATATTTGTTATTTTTGCTTTTCGTTATTTTTGCTTTTTGTTATTTTTTTTTCTTTTATTTGTTCAAAATCAGATTCATTGCTTGTTTAATAGCTCAATATTTTCACTTTCTATCTAAAATTCACAAGTGTGTATTTTTAGAGAGTTGAGAATTTTAATTTCCTTTTTTTTTTAGTCGAAATTTTTTTTCTTTACAAAAATTACATTTTTAAACTATAATTATTAATTGTTAATATAATTTATAATAAATACTATAGGCGAGAGGTCATTTTCTTCTTTACAGTTTATATCTCATTCATTTCTTTTCAAAAGAAAAAAATTAGGAAATTAATTTTGTTGATTTTTTTATAATAATTTATAATAAATGTAATTATTCAATTATTAATAGTTTATATTAAACTTAATTAAAATATTAGTAATTTATATTAAATTAAACTAACTTGTTAGTAATTGTTATTAAATTAAAAATAAATTTTATTAATTTTTTTATGCATTTATTTATTTACAATATTAATGGTTGAAATTATTTTTAAATAGTTATCATGTTCTTCAAAAAATAGATAATTAACATTTAATTTTTAATTATTTTATTATTATAATTATTATTATTATTATTATTATTATTATTATTATTATTATTATTATTATTATTATTAAAAAATCTAGAACAAAAAAAAATAAAAATAACGAGACTTGCTCCCTTTACTTACAATAAATAAATAAAAAACAAAGAAACGGAAAATAAAAAAAATTAAAAATAATATTTTTGTTTATTTTTGTTTATTTTGAAATAGAAGGGGCAAGTAAAAAAATTATTATTTATTATCTATTACAATTATTTTTCTTTATTTTCTTCCAATTTTCAAATAAACGGGACAAGAAATTATTATTAAAAAAATTTTTTAAATTGTTTAAAATAAAATTTACACTTCAAAGAATTGTTCATATATAAAAATTTTTCGACTCGTTTATATGTACTTGTGTAAATGAATTCGCGACCTAATTGACTAAATGGTCAATTCTTGATTATGAAATGAGTTTAATTTGAATGTTACGAGAGTATAATTTGATTCAATATATACAATGTTTATTAAATTTAAATCCATGAACTCGTTATTTATTAGTGTAAATTCACGCACTCATGTCGAGAGAGAGAGAGGCGACATTTATCGTTTCTAATGATCTCTAAACTGGCGTATAATTATCTCAAAATTATTAAGATGAAAAGATCGTGCAAGTCAATTAAACATCATATTTGATTTTCATGTATACGAAGAATAAGTGTTCTAATTTTTTTTTATTTCTGTTATTTTTATCATTTTTACATATGGCACGTGTTTTTGTTAATTTTCTCCTATTGTTTTAGTGTTTCTTGAAAAAAAAGAAATATTAAACAAAATTAAATGAAAATTTGATAAAATTATAATTTTTGATTTTTTTTTGACTTTATTTTAAATGTTTTGGAGAAAAAAATGTTTGGATAAAATTTCAATTTGTAATTTCTTTCGGAGTGTGGAAAAATTGGTCCCTGTGTGTTAAGTCTGACTGAAAAATGTTTTTACTACTTAGAAAGAAAGTATTTTTGAATTCAATTTTTATTGTTACGTTTAATTTACAAATTAATTTTTATTAAAGCAATTACATTTTTAGATAGTCTTCATTTTTTTTTTCCTTTTTCTATATTGATGAAGCGTTTATTTTCTTGAATGTTCTTTTTGTTTTTTAATTTATACTTTTTTTTGTTTTTAGTTTTTTATTTTTACCTTTCTTATTTTTATTTATTAAAAGAAAATAGGGCAAGCGTCATTATTTTTATTTTTTATTTTTAGATTTCTTACTGTTATTTATTAATTTATTTATTGAAAGTAAACGAGGCTGTTTTCGGTTTATTTTAATTCAACAATCAGTAAATTAGTTTATAAATCGAATGAAAAATTTGAAGCCAGAACACAAAGAAACAAAAAAAATTAAAATATTATGTCAAGAATGTCACATAATAACGGTTATTAAAAATAAAAATTGAATAAATGAAATGCAACTTTTTTTACACTCTCGAATATAAAAAATGTGTTATAAAACACTTATGTATTTTTAAACATAGTATAAAGTCAACAATTTTCTATATATGACATAATAATAAATATTATGTTCAATTATTTCTATATTTTGCTCACCGACACCTTCTTCAAAGTAGGAAATTTAAATTTTTTCGATTTTATCACAAAGATGTATAATAAATGAGAAATAAATGCAATAAAAAAAGGAAAAAAAATAAAGAAACGAATATGAAAAATGATACAATGTGTGTGATAAAATGTTTAAATAATAGATTGTATAAAATATTTAGTAAATGAGTTAGTGATTAATCAATGGATATATTGAATGCTTTTTGCGACGAATTATTATACGCCTCTTGTAGTTTGATAATTGCTACTCTCTCGTCGGTATAATATTTCTTTAATATTTTTTCTGACATTTCGCAAAGTCTACTTCTACTTTTCATCTATACAATCTATATAGACATTGAGTACTTTTACTTAAAAGCTTATGTCTACTTTCATCAGTTAAAATATTATTCACGTTGGGAAATTTTCTTTGAAAATATAAATTTTAATTTCTTCTTTTTTATAGTAATCGATTATTATTTTATTTAAACAATAAAATAAAAACAAACAATTTTATTTTAACTTTTTTTTTATTTATTAATTTAAAAAATTTTTAATTTAAAAAAAATTATGTTTTATTTTTGTTTTATTTATTAATTATTATTCTTTGATGGCTTTGATTTATTTTAAAAAAACATTTAAATATTTTATTTACATTCTTTATAAAAAATCAGTATTTTTCAGTGTGGTGAATATTAATATTGAATAAATAATTAAAGTAAATAGACAAATAAAAATAATACTGAAAATGATAATAATAATATTAATAATGGTAATAATAATTAAGATGTTAATCAATTATGAAATAAATAATTATAGTATTAATAATAATAATTATTAATAATAATAATAAAAATTGGTATTTTAGATTTTAATCGTTTTGAAATAGTTTTTGTTAAATTGTTTAACATTTTTTTTTTGAAACTGTTTTTTAGAAATTGTTACAAATATTTTTTTTTGGTTATTTAAATATTGTTTCAACCAATTTTTTTGTAAATTGTTTTCTAAATATGGTTTGCAAATAATTTTTTTTGAAAATTGTTTTTCAAATATTGTTGCAAATAATTTTTTTGGAAATTATTTTTTTTAAATTGTTGCAAATAATTTTTTTGGAAATTATTTTTTTTAAATTGTTGAAATAATTTTGTAAAAATCTCATTTTAAATTGTTACATTTGGATTATTTTTTGTTGAATATTTTTTATATAAAATATTCTTCATTTTTGTCTTCACTTTATTCTGTTTTTTTTAATTTTATTCACATTTGTATTTTTTGTCTGTAAATTTGTTTTTCCAATAAATTTATAAGAATTGTAAATAATTTTGAATTTTAATTCACAATTCAGCACAATATTTGTTTTTTGAAAATTTCAACTTCCGGGACATTGAAAAATTTCTGTTTTTTTTAAAGTATTTTGGAATGAGAGTATTTTTTTTTAAAGTTGAAATCAATTTTTGATTTTGCAAATTTTTTTAATCGAATTTAAGAAAGTAGGGAATAAGATGATAAATTGAAGCAATGACCTCGACCTTGATGACCTCTCGGCTTACCGAAGAGCGCATATATCCACTTTGAGGATGAGGCGGCATCCTCGATTATTTCGGAAGGCGTCGAGCCTTCTTTCTTTATTGACGATGCACTCGTGCTTTGTCACGTGGTCTTGACCCAAAGGGCCTTTTCTTCTTTTTTCAATTTTTTTTCCTTTTCCAAAAAAAAAAACGAAAAAATTAATAAAAAACGGGACAAGAAAATTAAAAAAAAAAGTTTTTTTATCTCTAAACTTCTATAATCACTTTTCTTCTTTTTTCCATGATTTTTCAGTTTTTATATAAAATTCGACATTTTATTATTTTTTGCCTGAATTGTATTTTTTCTATTTTTTCACACATCGTTTTTTGATGGTAATTTCTTTGTCACTCATTTTTTTTTCATTGTTAAAGTTCCATTTTGACTGGATAATGAGAAAAAATTTGTTTTTAATGATTTTCCTGATTTTTTTGATTTATTTTTCTTCCTTCTCCTAATTGTTTATTTTTTTTAACTGTTTCTCTTTATTTAAAATGATATTTCTATTCTGAAACATCATTTGTAACAAACACTGAATTTTTTTTTATATAAAATCACACAGGCCTTTATTAACACTGAGAATATAAACATTTATTTGTATTTTTTAATTGCACCAAAATTCTATTTTAGAAAACTTTTCACTTTTTTATATTTTCGATATTTCTCTTCTTGTTTCACTTTTTTTGACACTTGGTTTTTTTGGTCCTCTTTAATAGAAATTCTCTTCAAAACTCTCTTTGTCCCGTTTTGTTTTCGTAAATGTTCGTAAATATTCTCTTTTCGTATCTGGTATTTTTTTTATGATTTTTGACTCATTTTAAAAAAAAATTAATTTTAAATAATGAAAAATGTTTTTTTTTTAAATTTTATTTTATTAAATAAGTGTTATTAAATTTATTTTATTTAGTAAATTGATTTGATTTTCTAAAAGAAAGAAATTGATTTCCAAAAAAAATCTCTGAATATAAATTTTTAAGATTATTATTTCTTTTTATAATTTTAAACAAATTGTCAACTATTTTTTTCTTTGCAATTTTGAAAAAATTCTTAACTATTTTTTTATGTAAATTTGAAAAAATTGGCAAATTTTTTTTTCGTATTTTTTTTTTAATTTTTGTTTTGTTATTCTGTGAGGAGAATTGAGTATATAATTGACTCCGAAACGGCGGGAGTCACGAGAGCGACTAGTAAGTCGCTCGACCACGGCGAAAGAACACCACGTGGTCGCGTGCCGAGGCGCAGGTGGGAGTGACTGAATCCGCCCTGTACCACCAAGCTTATAGAAGATTTGCACTAGGCAAAAGTTACTCCATCCCCAATTGGGGGTGGGTCAACACCATTCGCGCCAGCGCGATTCCCGTTTCTCGAATAATAATAAAAAAAAATACACACAATCTGAAAATTATTTTTTAAAGAAAAATTTATCCATATTGTTTATATATATATATATATATATATATATATATATATATATATATATATATATATATATATATATATATATATATATGAAAAAAATAGGGCGAAAAATTTACTATCTACTCATCTACTTAGTAAAATTAGTAAATGATAAAAAAATATTAATGAAATAGTAAATTTTTATTAAATATAATCATATTAAATTATTTAACTTTATTAATTAAATTATTGAAATGAATTATATTTAATAATATTATTTACACATAAATCACATTCTTGCCATTGGGAAAAATTGTTTTAAAAAAATATCGTCATTTAATTCCGTTTAATTTGGAATTTAGACGAATTATAAAATTTCAAGTGGATCAGCTGTTTTATTCGACCGCCGCCATTTTGTTTTTCGTAATTCTTAGAAGTGACGGCATACAGAACGAAAAAGTTTATAAGTTAGAATTTGAAAAAAAAGTTGAATCGTTTGGTATTAGGAAATAATTATTCGAATTAATAATTTTAATAAGAAAATGAATAAAGAAATAGTAACAAAAAAATAATAAAATAGAAAACAAAAAATAAAGAAAATTTAAAAAAATGGTTAAAATTAGAAAGTTGGAAATTTTTCAAAAAATGTTTATTTTATTGAGAAAATGCAAATAATAAAATGAGAATTTAAAGAAAATTACAACAAATTATTTTCAAGTAGTAAAAAGTTATTTATTATTAGAGTTTTTTTCGATAGGAAAAAAATAAAAAAAACCAGGAAACATATGTCAGTGCGGTGAATAAAATGCTTCTTAGTATACACATTTCTGAAGAGCAATTCAAGGAGTTGCTCGGCAAATAAAACATCAGATTAGTTTCACCGGAAAAGTTTAAATAGAAAAAAGATATGAAAAAAGTTTTTTTCGTTCTTTCAACTTTTTTTATAGACTTCAAAACGAAAATGTAAAATATTGTCAATAAGTTTCGAATTCATAAAAAAAATCAAAATTTATTGCAGACCTCGAACTCTCAGGTGACTATTTTGATACTTTTTGACACTTTTTTCTATATTCTAATATTTTTTCTATTTTCTATTATTCTTTAATTTTTCTTAAATTTTTCTATTTTCTAATATTTTTTTCTATTTTCTATTATTCTTTATTTTTTTCTTTTTTTTCCTATTTTCTAATAACTATTTAAGCTATTTTCACTAAATTAAATTAGTAGAAATTTTTACAAATTCATGATCCTAAAGTTCTGAACGTTCAAATGAACGAAATTTATTTATTTTCTTCTTTAATTTAAATATTTATTACAATAATTTTTTGTCGATATAAAATAAATGAATTATAAAGTTTCTAAGTGTAAAATTTAAGTTTTTAATTTTTATTGCAAACAATAAATTATAAAAACATTTTTAATAAAAAGTGTTTCGTTCATTTGAACGTTCAAAACTTGTAGATCATACAAATTCAAATTTAGAGAGTGGAATATAAAAAACTATTTTTAAAATAATTTCTTAATAATTGAAATAATTACAAAAATTGACTTTGATCAAAATTATTTAATACAAATAAAAAAAAGTATCAAAAGAGTCATAAAATTTTCGTGACAGTTGCAAATTTGTCACAAGAATTCAATTATTTTCATAAATAATAAAAAATATCGCAGGATTTAAATTATTTTTAATACAATTTTAAATAAATTCCTCTAAAAATGCAATTATTCTTAAAAATTTTATTTAAATTCTTCAATGGAATTCAATTATATTAAAAAATTTTGATATAATTTGTTTATTTGAAATTAACAATTTATTTTCAATATATTTTTAATTATATTTTTTGAAAGAATTGAATTATTTTCAAAAATTTTAATGAAGTTCTTTGTAACAAGTCAAATTTCAAAAATTTTTCGAAATTCAATTATTTTCAATATCCACTATTTAGATAAAATTTCCCAAATGAATTCAATTATTTAAAAAAAATATTTAATAAAAGTCGCAACAATTCAATTATTTTCATAAGTTATAGAATTCTGCGGAAAAATTCAATTACTTTGAAATTTACTCAAGTAAATATTTATTTGATATTAGACACGATTAGTATAATTAATATTTAAAAGCATAAAGACATCTAATAATTATTTTCTTCAATCAAATAAATTTTAACCAAAAAAATTTTTTCCAAAGAAATATTTGGAACGAATACCTTTTAATTGACTTAAAAATAAAATTTTTAAATTGACTGAAATAAAAAAACATTTGATATAAATAAATATTTATTTGATAAATTGTAATTCATTAAAATTAATTTTACTAATTAATATTAGTTTTCCTAATTGATTTTAATTTTACTAACTAAAATAATAATAATTAATTTAAATTTTATTAATTAAAATAATAATTAATTAATTTTAATTTTACTAATTAAAATAATAATTAATTATTATTATTACCGAGGAAAAAAATGCGAAAGAGTAAATTCTTTTCACAAAAGAAGAGGGCTCAAAAGTAGCTGACCTCAAATATAAGAGAAAAATTGAGAGAGAAAGGAAAAGAATTGTTTTTTTATTTTAATTTTTGCAAAAAGAACCTGCAATCGTAATGCACATTGCACTAATTAGCAATGGACACTGATTACTTGAGATTAGCATATATAGACATGACGATTTAACCAGGATGAGGGCTTGTCGTTTGTCTGTTACCCATTAATTATTATTAATCGTATAGTTTGTCGAGCTTTTGAAGTGACCGAATATATTTCTGTGTCAGAAAAGGGAGGCTTTGACCTCCATTAATTAGAATGATTTTTTGGTTATGCCGAAGGATCAGCCCCTGTTGATTAATTTAAAACGAATTTTCTGACCTTAAGCGGATGGGCTTTTCCCTTATCCAATTTACAGTGTCGACCTCGCTAACATACAATACACACAGACACATATAAATTCGTTTGTAGAAAAATAAAACAGTTATATCTAGGGTATAGAGATTTTCAATCGAACTAAATTGATTAGAACGATTTTATTTTCAGCAATTAATTTTTATTTTCAAATATTTTCAGATTATACTTTCAAATGGATTTAAATATTTAATTTATTACTCTCGAGGAATGGAAAAATTTTATTTTTTATTTCGAGACATTTTTATATTTTTTTTACTATTATCCTAAAATTTCGAGCGTTCAATTCGTTTAAATGAACGAAATTTATTTATTTCTTCTCTTTAAAGTAATTTTTTACTTTAATAATTTTGCGCGTCCCTATCAAAAAATTTAACAATAAAGCTTTGAATGTAAAATTCAAGTTTTTACCTTTTAGTGAAATCAGTAATAAATTTATGAAAATATAGTTTTAATAAAAAAATATTTCGTTCATTTGAGCGTTCAAAACTTGTCGATTATTTTTTACTTCGAGAAATGGAAAAGTCTTTTCTTATTTAGAGAAATGGAAATTTTTTATTATTATTTTACTATTTTCAAAATTGAAAAATAATTATTTTTTGCACTATTTATTAATGAAAAATCGGTGGAAAAATATTTTTAATTCAATTTTTTTTTATCTTTTTGTATAATTGTAAAATTTAATTTTGTTTCGCTTTTTTGTCGCTTAATGACAAATCATTAAAATGAAAAAGTTATTAATCCCCTTGACTTGATAATTAAATAAAAAAAAATTTTCGATTTTGGTAAAAAAATTTAATTACAGGTAAACGAAAAAATTTTTAATTATTCAATATTATCGTTACTACTAGAGTTCTTTTTTCGAAAAATTTTTTAAAAACAAGTTGGTCTTTTTTTAAATTTATAATAAATAAAATAATATTATAAATTAGAAAAT